TTTACAGATGTTTATTGAACCCCTTCCACGGTTCAGTAACCTTCACAACAACTCTATGAAGTAGGATCTCGGCCCATTTTATGAGGAGGAAAAGGAGGCTTGGGGTGGTTGAATGACCTGCACAAGGTCGCATAACTGTAAGTGACAGCTGAGGTTCAGACCCTGGCCACCTAACCCCAAAGCCAGGCCTATACCTTTAAGAAGACTGTGTCGATCACTCTGGGACCCCCACAGCACCCACCAGGGCCACATGGTGCCACCGCTGAGTAGAGGGACTGGCAGGTGCCTCAGGGCTTGTATTTTCCTCCTGGGAGCCTTCCTGGGCTCCGTAGGCTGGAGCAAAGTCTCTGCCTTCTTTTCCCCACAGCCCTGTGCTCCCCACACCAAGGCATGTCCCTATCACACTGTAACTGTCCATTCTCTTGTCTCTCCAACTTAACTGTGAGCCTCAGGAGGGCAGGGATCATGTCTGCCTGTGCTTGTTCCCCACTGTGTCCCTGATGCCCGCCTCAGTGCCCAGCACATAAAGACTCCTCACAAAATGTTTGCTGAATGAACAAGAGAATGAATTAATGATGTCACAGATTTACTTGCTCAAGGGCCTGGAGGTAGGAGCAAGCAGCTCCCCTATCTCCTGCCCCAGGCCCCTCCTTGCGGGAAGAGTTCAGGAAGCCCTTGGGAGCCAGGAGCAGGGAGACCAGAGCTGCCTTTGAGCCCTTTCTTCATCTTTCCCCAGGTATACGGGGCATCCAATGTGGAACTCATCACCCGGACACGGACAGAGCATCTTTCAGAACAGCACAAGGGCAAGGTCAAAGGTAATGAGGCAGAGGCACGCGGGGGGCTGTGAGGAACCAGCTTCCACGTGAACACCTCCATCAGCATCCCTCTGACGTCCTTGCAAAAGCCAGGATAGTCTATTCAGGCAAATGGGTTTCAACTCAAGGGCCACGTCCTTATGGCTGGTGGTGGCTGCCTAGAGTGCTGCCAAGATGCTTCCAGGGCAACATTTGGTTGGGCTCAGTGGGAAGGGGTCGATGACCACTGTCTGCGTTGGGTTTGGGAAGGGAGAGAAGGGTCATGTCTGCTCTTTGCTGGTCCTTCTGGCCTAGTGAGACGTAGCCTAGGCAGAAAGTCAGGGGCCCTGCACTGATTCTCTGTGCCCATTGATACTACACCTGACTTTCTGGGCATCACTTACTGTGTCTAAAGCAGAGAGACATAATTCCTACCTCACAGGAGAACAAATGAACATGGAAGTGCCTGAAAGAAAACATACGCATGCGCACGTATATTCCAAAACTGTTCACCAAAGCAGGTACTTTTTGTCCAGTGTCATCAACTTGGAGAGTGACACTGGAAGTTTACCCTGAGCCCGAGGCCTACGTTCTATGCCAGCTAGACTAATAGTGGCCCTGGCCCCGCCTCCCGCGTCTCAGCCCCTTCAGGTGAAGGTGCCTGGATGTTGGTGTGGATAAGCAGCTGCCCCGCCCCCAGGAACCAGCCTCCTGCCTCGGACTTGGGTGCCGTTACTTCCGAGGGCTGCAATGTCCTCCAAGATGCCACATTTCTTACAGGTTGCAAGACACCGCTGCAGTCCTTCCTGGGAATTGCTGAGCAGCACGGGGGCCCCCAAAATGGGGTGAGTGTGGGCCAGGGGTGCCCCTTGGTGGGAAGGTATGGATGTGGCTCAGGAGAAGGCCTGGAAGGTGTCCTGCTTAGCGTGCCTGTGAGGACCTCTTTTCCACGGTGCCCAAGACCATGCCAGCCCCACAGTGGCAGTGGGGATGGCTCTGGGCCTGTCATACACATGGCTGGCCTGGCATCAGAGGCTGCGGAGGGCTCATGGGCCCCTCCCCATGCGGTACAGACCCTGATCACCCAGACCCTGAGCCGAGCCAACCCCACTGCCATCACCGCAGAAGAGTACTTCAACCCCAACTTCGAGCTTGGCAACCGTGACATGGGCCGCCCCATGGAACTGACCACCAAAACACAGAAGTGAGGCCCCTGCTGGTGCTCGGGAGGGGTGGGCAGGGCAGGGCGGCCGGGGAGGAGGGGCAGGGGCTCCGGAAGGTTCTGTGAGCATCACTCTTACAATGTCCCTCACCCCTTGGGATCCTGGGGGGGCAGGTTCAAGGCCAAGCTGTGGCTTTGTGAGGAGCATCCCCTGTCCCTGTGTGAGCAGGTAGCTCCCATCATCGACCTCATGGCTGTTAGCAATGCGCTTTTCGCCAAGCTCCGGGACTTCATTACCCTGCGCCTGCCTCCCGGCTTCCCTGTCAAGATTGGTGAGCCCCCATTCCCACTTCCCCGTGGCTGCTGTTGTGGGGCTGGGGGTTTAGATGAGGGAGAGTGGGGGTCTACGGTGTGAGGGGGTGGGTGGTGGCACCTGATGGTTTCCTCACCCTCAGAAATCCCGATCTTCCACATCCTCAACGCCCGCATCACCTTCGGGAACCTCAACGGCTGCGACGAGCCCGTGCCTTCGGTGCGAGGCAGCCCCAGCAGCGAGACCCCTTCCCCTGGCAGCGACTCCTCCAGCGTCAGTAGCTCCAGTTCCACAAGTGAGCCCTGCCCCCTCTGAGCTCGCTCGCCCAGCCCCCTCTCCAGAGCCCTCTTCCCCTTCCTGGGGAGCCACTCTGACCTCGGCCTGCCCTCAGCCTCCTGCCGTGGATGCGAGATCTCTCCCACTTTGTTCGAGGCCCCACGGGGCTACAGCGTGCTGGGTGGCCAGCGGGAGGCCGTGACCCACGACGATGATGACGACCTTCTGCAGTTTGCCATCCAGCAGAGCCTGCTTGAGGCAGGCAGTGAGTATGACCAGGTTCGTCCCCTTGGACGCACGGGGCCACCTGACTGCGGTGCCGCTATAGCCAACTGGCCCTGCCCTCTCCCTCCAGGTCACTATCTGGGAGGCGCTAACCAACAGCAAGCCGGGCACTCACCCCATGTCCTGCGAGGGTCGCCGACAGGACAGGTCAGTGGCCACCAGGATTGGGAGATTCCCACCCCCCCACGCACAACACACCCCAACACCCTGTCACAGGGGGTCAGGACACAGCCCACTGAACAGCCCTGCTGGCCCAGAGGAACTGTGGTCCCCTCACCAGGGACCTACTGGAATCAACATGGTTTCTACCATAGCCTTTTCTGGCTCAGGGGGTGGGTGAGCAAAACTCCTAAAGTGGCCGGTGTGGGGCCAGGCCTCATGGCCTCCAGACCCTCACCAGACCTGGTGTCGGGGCCAGGGTTCTAGAAGATGCCCACATGCGCTGGCTGCTGCCCCCCTGGGAGGATGGGTTTTGTAGGGACTGGGATCTGCCACACCGGGTGGGAGCCAGGGAGGTGAGCAGGACTGAGGGCGGCAGGACTGCTCCATCCTGGGGCCTCCATGCTGGCTCCCGCCCTGCTCACCCGCAGTTGCGCCCGGAGCCCTGGATGTGTCGTCCTTGCCCACAGGAGCAACCCGCCCACCCCACAGCACCAGCCCGCCACCCCCACAGCGGTGCCCAGCCCTCGGCCCAGCCCGGGCCCTGGCAGCCACGTGTTCCGGAGCTACGACGAGCAGCTACGGCTGGCCATGGAGCTGTCGGCGCGGGAGCAGGAGGAGCGGCGGCGACGGGCGCGCCAGGAGGAGGAGGAACTGGAGCGGATCCTGAGGCTCTCACTGACCGAGCAGTAGTGTCACCGTCCGGCCTTCGGCCACGCCACGTGAGCCCCACCGGAGCGAGGTTCCCTGGCCCAGGCACAGGCGCTGTGGCTGGAGACCAGAGCCACCGCCTTGGGGGCGTAGGGGGGCACCAGGCACCAGACCAGGAGGGGGTCAGCATGGCCAGGCCAGGAGGCAGCTGGCTCGGCCCGGTCCCCCTGCTTTGCTGTAACTGACCCTCAGCCCTCTCCTCTGTCCAAGGGCAGAGCCAGGCAGTCCTGAGCGGGAGACCAGGCTATCATCCAGGGCTGATAGCCTGCTCCTGGCTGGCCCTACTTCCTGCTCACTGACCCCACCCCCGGACACTGCCTGTGAAGCCTTTGCATTTCCGCTCTTCACCCCTGGGGGCAGCTGAGCTCCCCAAGTGCTGTGTTGCTGCTTTGTTCCAGACGCAAAACAGCACGTCCAGGGCCCAGCCCCTCCCCCACTCCAGCATTTCAGCGTCAAGTGCACTTAGCGGGGTGCCCAGCTCCCCCAGCCCCCACACCCCTCCCAGGTCTCAGGGTGGTCCCAGCTTCAATTTGGGCAGCCAGAGGTTGGAGACCCCTTCCCCAAGACATTTTTTTTGTGATCAGGGAGGGTGTCCAAGGTGGCCCCCCACACCTGGGCTCGCCTGGCTCCCACATGCTGTTCTGGCAAATGGGGGGCATATTGGGCTGGGGGCAAGCTCTAGACCCTACACTAGACTGGATGCAGAGGGGCTGCCCAAGGCCCAGGCACCACCACCCACCCCGTCCCACCAGCTGCTGCTAGCCCTCCGTGGTTGTGCGCCCCACTTGCCCCCTCCCCGGGGCTGATTCTAAAACCTTTCATCCAATGGTGCTAACCCCCGGCTCTCCCTGCCCACCCCACCCACCAAGAGAAGCACAGACCCTGCCAGGGGCAGGGGCCCATGGCACACCCTGACCCAGGTTCTCTCTGACGGGCCTTCCGGGCTCCGCCGGGAAGGTTCAGAAGGGACACAAAAGGGATGGAAGGAAAGAACAAAGAGAAACGGTTCCTCTTACCCACTCCCTGATGCCAGGGGCACCAGACTGATTCTGAGGCACAAATTAAAGAGGCTTCAAACCTGAGGCTTTCCCTGTCTGCCTTTACTGGGGAGGAACGCCCGCCTGCGGCCTGGGGTTCCTTCTGAACCTCCGTGTAGGGAGGGCTCTGAGGGAAGAGGGTGCCTGGTGGATCCTGAGCTCATTGTCAGGGTCTCAGGGAACCTGGGGGTAGCATTTGTAGAGGCTGGGAGGCTCGTTACACACACACACACGCCCACGCAGGAGGCACAGACTGAACACTTAGTAAAAGATTTCATTCCGCATGACTTGTTTTCCTCCTGGAGCCAGGGCCACGCAGAGGGCTGGGGGCAGTGTGTGTTGGGGGGGCGCAGGGGAGAGGGGGTGAACCTGCTTCCTCGGGCGAGTGTTGCTCGCCCTCCCCCTCGAGGAAGCCGCCCTCCCCGGGGGAGGAAGGGAGAGAGCCCTCTGCTGGGCGCAGCCAGCGGGTACAGCTCCACGGACAACGGGTTGTCCGCGTCTGTAGAACTGGGGCGGCCTCGGCCGCTTTACCTCTCGTGGGTGGAGTCGTGTGACCTGGTCAGAGGGCGTGGCCTGTCATTTCCCAGCCAGTCCAGGGACACCCGTCGGTTCGCCACCCCTTTGCGGTCAAGCCCAAGCTCCCCCCGCCTCCCCAAGCATCTCGCTAACAACTAGGCACTTCCTCCGCCCTGAGCGCGGGACAGAGCGGACGCCCTCTGGCCGCGCAGCACCGTGGCGGAGGCCCCGTCCCGCGACCTCGCCAGGCCAGCTCCTGCCGGGTCCCGGGTGAGGCGCGCGGCGTGGGTGCCCGACGGACGCTCGCCTCCCTGAGGCTCCATTGTCCAGGCTTCCCGCGGGGGAAGGCGTTCCATTCCCAGTCCCGTACCCAGCCCAGAGGCGGGGTCCCAGGTTGCAGGTCCGAAGCCTGGGCAGGCCGAGCCCTTGCGCCCGCCCGGCCGGCCTCACCCTCCAGGTTCGGAGCCGTCGGGAGCGCTGCGCTAGTCCGTGCCGTCCACCAGCTCGCATAGCATGTTCTCCAGCGCCGTGATGCGCTGCTCCTGGGCCTGCACCTGCTCCCGCAGGGCCTTGATCTGCTCCAGCAGCGTCTCCAGCGTGTTCTGCTGCGGGGCGCGGAGGACAGGAGGCGGTGTGGGCGGGGGAGGGGGGAGGGGGGGAAACGAACGTGTAGACTGGGTCTGGGTGGGGGCGGGCGGATCTTACCGATAAGGGGGCGTCGCTGGCTGACTGGCTGCGGCGGGGGCCGGAGGGCGGGCGCGCATCCAGGATGTTGCGCTTGGTGACTCGGAGCTCGCGGTGCTTGGGGGGGACGTACCCATCCCTCAGCGAGATGAGCACGGGCTCGGCGTCCTGGCCCGACAGCCACTCGTCCGCTTCTAGGGCCGGCTCGGGTCCCGGCGTGTCTGGGTACAGGTCGTCCTGGAACAAGTCTGACTGCGGGGTGGTGGGGGGAGGGAGGAAGGGACAGGGGGACGAGGGTTAGCAGGTGCCGGGCCTGCTCCGCTTCCGTCCACCTTGGAGCCCTGCCCAGCCCCTCACCTTGCGGGGCACAGTCATGATGATGGGTTCACACTTCCTTTCGTGCAGCTTGTAGAACCTGTAAGGGAGGGGGCTCAGCACCCCCGCAGGCTCCCCCCGGGAAGGGGTTAGAGGCCGGCACTTGCGGAGCGCCTGCCAGGCACTGCCCTTTAAGCACATGGTTAGTCCCACTGGAAATGCCTGATGGGGTGTCAGTCATCATCTTACAGATGGGGACACGGAAGTTCAGAGGCTGTCGAGTTAGAGCGGGGGCTGGCGCTGGCAACAGCTGGTTTGACACCCCCCGCCCCCGCTTTCCCACGATCACACTATTGGGGACGCCCCCGTGTGTCCCCCACGGGAAGTGAGCGCAGGCGGAGGCTGCTGACCGGGCGATCTCGCATTTGCTGACGTCCAGCCCCCGCTTGGGCATGAACCCCATGCCCCGCTGCGGCTCCTTGCTGCCGAACGTGTTCAGGTAGTGCACGAAGGGTGGCTCGTCGGTGATCTCAAAGTACCGAATGCTGCTGTCGCCCTGCAAAGCCAGCTGGTTCAGAGACGCCCCGGGCAGGCGCCCCCCCCCCCCGCCCCCCGGCCCGGCGCGAGCACCTTGCCACACAGGTAGACGATGCTGGAGTCGGCGTCGTAGAAGGGCAGGAGGACCCCGTTGCTCGTGTCCATCTCCTGCAGCGCCACTGGCTCCACGAAGTTGTTCTGCCCGAGCATAGGAGGCGTGAGCAGCCCTGTCCCGCCTTCTGCGCGGCTCCTGGATCCCCTGAAGCCCCGGGAGGCTTCCTGCCGCCCCCAACCCCAGGCGCTCCCGCCGCAGTTCCTGTGAACCGAGTGGCAGGCCCCTGCACACAGGCCCCTCAGGGCAGCATGCAGTCACCGCAAACCACCCCCAGGGACTCGGCATCACCGGTTGGGGGCGCCAGCGTGGGCTCCTGCAGGCGACGCAGCAAAACTGGGCGGAGGGGTGGCTGTGCGGGTGGCAGGCGCTGCAAAGAGGGCAGCAGCCCCCAGCCCTGTCCAGGTGGGCATGCCCTGCGGGTGGGGGACGCCTGGCCCCTCTCCCGTGATGCCAGTCCCCGGGGCACACACCCCACGCTTCCAGCTGCGTTACCGGGTCCCACAGGCCCAGCTCTCGCTGGCTCATGCGGGTGAAGCCCGTGGTGAAGATATGACCCTGGCGCGTGAAGATGGCCCGCATGGGCCTCATCCCCTCGTGGGCCGCAAACCTCTCCTGGGGGCAGGGGGAAAACAGGGAGAGGCGTCACCCAGCTGCCTGCCCTGGGGGTGCTGGAGGGCCCAGCAACCTGCTGGCGGACTTACGGGGGGCGGAGACAAAAAGGGGCCTAAGTACTCAGCTTCTGGGGCCCTAACTGTCCCCGGACCGGGGGCGCGTCTGGGCCTTGGGAGACCTGAAGGCGTGCGTCTCAGCGGATGACGAGCCCTTAAGCGCTCTCCGAGGCTGATCCCTAGAGCAGGGGGGTGTCTGCCGGTGTCCCGGGGACGCGGCGAGGCTGCTCCAGAAGGCGCCCTCTTGGGCGCCGGCCGCGCTCCGGGCTGACCTAGCGAAGTCGCGAGCGCACGCCCCGGCGCAGCCTGGCCTACCGGGTCCCAGAGCGCGAGTTGTCGCTCACTCATCCTGCTGAAGCCGGTGCTGAGTAGCTTCCCGTCTGCGGTGAAGACGGCCCGCATCGGGCGGGCGCCCTCGTGAGGCCGGGCTCGCTCCTGCTCGCGGGGTTAGTGGGTTAGAGGGCCCGCCAGCCGCGCGCACTGGGCGCAGACATACATGCACGTGCCCCCGCACCCCGCGTTAGTCTGAGGCTGGTGAGGCAGGTGCCAGCCACCGCCCTCCCAGGGCACCAAGGCGAGACCAGCAGCGCGCGAGGACTATCCCCCCCCCCCCCTCCGCCCAGCGGGTCAACTAGGGCGGAAAGGGCCGGGCCTTGAGCCAGTGTCAGGCCCTGGGCCCTGGAAGATGGCTCTGGGTGCCGGCTGAGAGGAGAGGGGTCCGGAGCTCAGGCTTCATGCAGGTTCTAATGGGAGGATGGTTTGCAGTTCCTCCCCTGCTCCTCTGAGCTCCTGAGATGGAGGGGAGGGAAGGGAAGAGGAATAGGGCAGAGAATTCCTGGCTCAGGGCTTAGGGCAGGGAGCTGTGGCTGCAGACACTGGGAGGTGGTGGTGGGTGGAAGCACTGGCCTCTGCAGTTGGGATCGGGGAGGTGAGAGCTGGGACCAGGGGCTCAGAGGATCTCAGGCCCAGGGGCCTGACCGTTGGTTCCTGGGGTGGGGGCTGGGGAGTGGCCAGGCCAGGCACTCACCGCCACCACCTGGCCCTTGCGGGGGTCGACAATGCGCAGGGTCTTATCCTTGCAGGTGGTGGCCAGCAGGCTGCCATTGCTGTTCCAGCACACGCTGTGGATGATGTCCGGGTGCATGTCGTCCAGGCTCAGGAGCACCTCCCCGGTGCCCACGTTCCAGATGATGATCACATTGTCACCACCTGCCCAGAGTGGCCAGTTACCGTCACCTGGGCCCTGCCTTTGCCACCCTCCCCCCAAGAGCTACAGTAGGGATCCCTCGCTAGGCCCCCAGACCTGCACTGAGCAGGACATTCCGGGCAGTGGGGTGCCAGGAGAGGATGCCCACGCGCTTGGAGTGGCCTTCTAGTGTGATGATGGGCTCTGTAATGTTGCGCATAGGGGTATAGTCTGGAATCTGCCACACCTGGGTAGGAGGAAAAGGCAGAGGGGGGGTAGGATGAGGAGCTACTTTGTCCCTCAGCGCCTCCCTTACTTCCCCTCCCTGCCCCTCCAAGCCTACTGGTGTCAAATGTAGGGCAAGATGTGATGGTGCCTGCCTGGGTCAGAGGCGGCTGGGAGCCAGGAGGGGCACTGCCAGCTCTCCAGAAATCTTCATCACCCCAGCAGGGAGACTTCAGAGCAGTAACTCCCTACTCTTCACCCCCAAATTGGCCATGGTTATTATTAGTCTTAAGCAGTGCATCCTGGGAGGGAGTGGGCATGTAGCTAAAGATAGCCTGGGAGCTGGGGAGGACAGGGCCCTGGGACCCAGCACCTCCCTTAGCACCTTCTCTAGAACAGGTGAGGCAGCCCCAGTTGCTTCCCCTGCCCAACGACCCAGCGGCTTCCAACTGGCTCCTACCATAATGGTGGTGTCATCTGAGGCACTGGCGATGACGTTGTCATTGTGTGGGCACCAGTCGATGTCCAGCACAGGGGCAGTGTGCCCAGTGACCAGTGGGTAGTTCTTATCCACTCGTCCTGTCTAGAGGAGTGAGAGAGAGAGAGATGTGGGCCACTCTCCCGTGTGATTTTGGGGGGCGGGCCGGGGACCTGTTTACATCTCAATTCTCTATCATTCATTTTCTCTTTGCAGACCCCTCTCTACACCTCCAATCTCATTCAGCCTACTTCCTGTACTTCGGTGAAGGCAGACAGAGATGAAGTCATTTAATACAGTGGGGCCTTGACTTACAAGTTTAATTCGTTCCCAGACCGAGCTCATTAACTCAAATTACTCTGTCAACTCAATGCAAAAAATCGGCCGAGAGACAGCTGGTATCTCAAAAAACTCGTTAGTCGGGACACTCGTAAGTCAAGGCCCCAGTGTATCAGGGACTCAGACACAGAGAGGTCAGGTGACTTAACCAAGGACACACAAGATGCTGGTAGAGCCAAGATCTGAACTCTTAGTCCAGTGCTCCTCCAAAACGCCTGCTTGGAGGCTGTTCTTGAGCCTGTTCCCCCAGTTGGGATGTCTATGGGGAGCCCCTGGTGGAAGAGGTGAAGGTGAGATAGTACATAGTGTAGCACCTGACACCCTTGGCAGGTTCCCACCATGTCACTGGTTTACTTTGGAACCACAAGCAGCAGGCAGTCCTGGTGCCTGTTATGCTCCAACCTGAGCTGGGACCCATCTATTTTTGGTCTTTATGGGCTGTTCGTGGGGGCTCTGAAGCCGTTGCTGGGCTGGCATCGGCCCAGACGGTGGGGGAGAAGGGTGGCTGTGTGGCACTGGAATGACAGTAGTAACTGGGGGAGGAGGTGGCTCCAGCTGAAATTTGAGCCCTGGGGATGGTGTCCTTGTATGGTGTCTGCATTGTCCTGGAGTGAGTCATTGGCTATTGTCAGGTCTTCCTGCCACCTGTGGGGCCTCCCCTAACAAGGTGTAGGGGGCAGAATCCAGGTCAAGGTCATGCTTGGGGTGGGCAGGCTGGGGGTGGAGACGGCAGAGGGGCTTCAGGCTACTCAGCAAAGGTGGTGGTCATTACCTGGGTCAGGGAGCAGGGCTCTGGGCTTCTGTGTCATGACCCCCTGACCTCTGTTCTCATGCACCTCCCTGTAGGAACCAGAGTGGGGAGGTGGCCAGGGACTCTGGAGAGCCCGACTCTGTCCTCAGTGTGAAGCGGTGGGGTGTGATTTAGCCAAATGGTTATCCTGGACTGGGGAGAAAGATCCTCACACCCAAAACATGAGGGGGGCGGCATTAGGAGAGAGAGGAAGAGAATCTGGCCAGGCCCTGATTCCACTGCTTCCCAACTATCTCCCTCACCCACTCCTGGTCCCACCTGGGACCAGGGTGCTGGGCTGTGAGTGGGCACAGGCCACTGTGAAGCTGCTGCTTTGGGAGGGGAACGGAGCCTCCTAAGGGGCCCGTGAGGGCGTGGGGAACAGGGAGCTGCCAACCCAAACAAACCACCCCCCTGGTGGAGGAAGGGAACTAGGTGAGAACAGAGGCTGCTGCCAGGAGTGCCCAGGGGCCACAGCCAGTGTCCTCCCCGCCAGCTTCCTTCTCCTCATCCCTCACCTTGGCCAGAGGCAGGACGATGAAGGCACCTCCGCCTCCAGCCTCCACAATAATGGCCAGGAATTTGGGGTTGACGGCGCAGAAGGAGCTGTCCCATGTGACCTTGGACACACGGATGTCCTCGTAGGCCTGGTCGGCCTTTGCCGCCTGCCCAAACACGTGGCGGAACTTGCTCTGCCGAACCACGCGCCGGCTCATGGCTGGGGGCAGCGATGGAGGCTCTCAGTGCCCAGAAACGCCTTCGGTCCTTAGTCCTGTGAACTGTGGGAGGCAGGAAGAGAGAGTGTGTGTGTGTGTGAGAGAGGGTAGAGGGTGGGGTTAAGGAGCAAGTGAAAAGGCTTATCTGGCCAGGAGTTGGGTATAAATTAATTCGGAGTCTGGTCCTAGAAGCAGGGAGCTTTCTTCAAGATGATGAAAGTATGAGACAGTTCTTTGCCACCTCTCAAGTGGGGCTTAATGCAAGGGACTAGGATGTGGGTGGACCTGACTTCTCAGAGACCCAGACTGAGGGGGCACTGGGCCCAAAAGCTTCCTGGAAGGTGAAGTGGTTTGGGGAGGAGCCTCAAGGCCAGGCTGCCCTCCCACTGCCAGCCTTGAGTGAGCATCTCCTCACAGAATTGGTTTATCTGCCAGAGGCACCTGGTCCAGAATCAGAGGCCTTGGCCCTTGGATCCTGGCTAAAGCTGGCTGTGGGGCTGGAACGGCAGCCCCCCACGGTCCTCATCTCTGGCATAGTTCAGGCAGAGGGTTTGTAATTTTCTAAAAATTTGCCACGGAGGAGTTCCTCCTGTCACCTACCCTGAGTCCTTCCTGCTGCTGTTTTTATCCATCTCCTCCATGTTGTTTTGGGGACACAGTGCAAGGTGGGTCATCCTCCTTCCACTCCTCTCTGCACTGGCTTCTCCCAAAGGCCTTAACAGTGGTTCTGCCTTTTGCCTCCCATCCTGTCCTTCCTGCTTCTCCTCTGAGTCCCGACTCCTCCTAAACTCTCCTGGGGGTGGGGTGCTCCACCCCAGGGCCAGATTTGCAGGAGCGGGAGGCTGAGGTGCCTTTTCTCCAGCCGGGGCCTGCCCTACGCTCTTCCCCAGGGGCACAAGGAGCTCTTCCAAAGCCCAGCCACCGACTCCTGTCCCCTAACCACCCCGGCATCCCTGTGCCCTTCAGGCTGCTTCTGCAGCCCGGGGCCTAAGGCCTGGACTTCCCGAACCCTCCTTGGGCCTCTTGCCCCAGCACCGCGTTCTTGTGAGACTAGGTGTCTGCACCCTTTGGGCGCCGGTCGCTGCCCGTCCAAATATAGACACCAAGTCTGCCCCACCCGGGGCGGGGGGCGCAATCCTGTGCCCCCTCCAGAGATCCTGCCTGCTCGGCTGTCTGCAGTGGTGGCGGGGGGCGGGGGGCAGGGAACGGGGATACCTGGTCCTGGGCGGGCCGAGGGGCGCTCACGCAGCGACTCCTCTGCGGAGGGAGCTGGGGGCGCGCTGGCTCCGAGGTAGGCGGCAGGGGCCGGAAGGAGCTGCGGCTCCGGTGTCCGCGGCGTCTGGGCCCGGGTGTGGGGCTGCGCGCTCCAGCCGCTGCGTGCGGCTCTCCGGGGCCGGGCGCCACTGCAGTCCCAGCTGCCGCTGCCATCAACCTGCGAAGGCGGAGCCCAGGCGGAGGGCGGGACCAGAGGTGCCCCGCCCCATCCCGCGGCGGGAAAGTTGAACTCTGTGGCCTCAGAAAAGCATCGAAAGTAATCGTTTTGGCTCAGTGGCTAGAGCCTCGGCCTGTGGACTAAAGGGTCCCAGTTTCAATTCCAGACAAGGGCACAAGCCGGCGTTGCAGGCTCGATCCCCCCCAGTGGGGGGCGTGCAGAAGGCAGCCTATGAATGATTCTCTTTCTCCTTTCCTCTCTAAAATCAATAAATATATATATATATTTTAAAAAGTAATCGTAGGGGTGTGTGCGGGGTGTGGGGTGTGCGCACTCCTTACCCGCCCTCGGCTCCTACCGGGTGTGATGGGCGCTGAGAGGGGCAATGGACGAGGAGGGGGCGCGGTCCTCTCAGAGCCAGCGGCCTGGCAAGATCAGGTGCCTTCGCGCCTCATTCTTGCTGCAATCACACCCCCAATTTAGCCCGGGGTGGGGGTGGGGGGGGAGACAAGGAACCGGGCCGTGGGACTGCACCTCCATACCCTCTTTCGGAGAGGTCCCGGAAGATGCTCTGGGGGAGAAAAGCGAATGCACCTGGACACCCTGGGAACGCCAGTTCAAAGGGCAGCGGCTGTAACAGGTCTTTAGCCAAGTTATTTTTTTAAGTTACTTATGTATGGATTTATTTTTAATCCTCACCCGAGGATACTTTTTCCATTGATTTTTTAGAGCGAATAGAAGGGAGGAGGAGAGACACACAGAGAGAAGAAACATCCACGTGAGAGAGACACATTGACCAGTCGACCAGGCGGGGAAAGGAGCCTGCAACCGAGGCCCGTGCCCTTGACCGGCAGTCCGCTCTGCCCACTGTGGCCAATTTTCAGATGCTCAGCCTGACTCCTCAAGTCTTCTGGGCCGTGTTTGAATTGGTGCCCGCCTCTGTTCCAGGGAAGACCCCGCCTCTTCCCAACCCTCTCAGGACCCAGAGATCTGGGTATGGACCAAAGTTAAAAAGGAGATAAAAAGAAATCTGGTCAAAATACAGTCAGTGAATAACAATTGGTCCCTGTAGCTGCAGTCTACCTAGTGCCCGCCCCCTGCCTGGAACTGTTTTTCTTTTTTTAAAAAAATATATTTTTATTGATTTCAGAGAGAGAGGGAGAGGTAGAAATATCAATGATGAGAGAGAATCATTGATTGGCTGCCTCCTGCATGCCCCACACTGGGGATCGAGCCTGCAACCCAGGCATGTGCCCTTGATGGGAATCGAACCTGGGACCCTTCAGTCTGCAGGCTGATGCTCTGTCCACTGAGCCGACCAGCGAGGGCTGGACCTGTTTCTTTGGATCATAAAGCCCCGGGGGGCAGTGGCATGGGGCCAGTTATTCCCGCTCTCCAGGCACAGCTGGGAATCAATGTAAGTTTTCCAGAGGGCAGAGGGGAGAGGAGATGGTGGGGACCTGGGGGGCCCTCTCAGGCTGCTTTCTCAGGCGAGTTCAAGTCCTCATGACTTGGAGGGGAACAGAATCAAACTGTTCCAAGTGTTCCAGAAAGAATTCATGTTACGGAGGGATCATAAGGGGAGATGAGGAGTCTCCCGTCTACCTAAAGATTCCAGGCACAGAATTAGGAAGAAAAGACCTTAATGACTCAGTTGCTCCCTAGCTCACACGTGCTAGACACTGTCCTAAGGGTTTTACACATATTAATTCCATCCTAACGGTCTTCTGAGATGGGTGTTATTAATATCCCTACTTTACAGATGGGAAAACTGAGGCACAGAAGTTAAGTAGCTTACCCATCACTCAACTGGTAGTTGATGATGCCGAGATCCTTACCCAAGTGGCCTGGTGTCTAGGTGCATGTTTCTCAGACCACGTGTTTCTGCCTCTCCTTGAAGGCCAGTGCCACTCTCCCTCACACATGCTGATGCTGACAGTTACTGCTTCGTGGGCAGAGAGGAAAGGACACCAGGACTAATTAGAAAACTGGAGTTCCAGCCCTGGCTGTTACCCTATTTTTGCAGCTTTCTGGGCTGTAAAATGACGAGGGCTAGGTCAGGTCCTTTCTAATTCTGCACCACCTGTTGGCAGAGAAGGAGTTTGACATGTTGCCTCCTACTCTAAAAGGACATCTTTTGTCCCCCTGGCCTTTCCTCCTCTTTAAAGAGCTGGGTGCTCCATTCTAGAGGGAAGGTCTGGGACTAGGAAGCAGGAATCCTTCAATTCAACCTGCCTTCAGTTCCACCATCTGGGAAATTGGGGGAGGGGGGGGTGCGCGAGGTGCTCGCCAGTTACAGGAGCCAGGATTCACAGGTATTGCTTGGACCTGGCATGACTCAGACCTGCCCTCTAGCCTTCTTTTGGCTGCCAAGCCCTGGCGCAGTTGTGGGTGGGCGGAGCCACGGCACAAAGTGCCAAGCGGGTGAAGAAGCCACTGGGGCTGGTGCTTTCCCTTCTTGTTATTCAAACTGTCAGCTGGGCTCTGAACTCTCTCTGTGGAAAACAAGCATGGATTTCATCTTTCATAAAGCCGTTTTCTGGAAGCGGTGTCCTGGTAACTTGAGACATGATTTGGTCCATTTCCCTGGGCTAGAAAGCCCACACTGAGCTTATCTGGACTGGTTGGGGCTCTGGGCACCAGTGGTATGCTCCTCTCACTTGATATGGACAAACCAGAATGAAGCAAGCTGACAATGTTAGTTCAAGGCAGTGTTTTTGCTGGGAATTTCATTAAATGTTGTTAGCAATTTGGAATCGGAGCTTTCCCCACAGAGTAGTGCTGCCCTGTATGTGATGAGCAGTCCTGCTGTCTGTGGAGGGCTGGGAGAAGTGGAAACCTGTCCCTCCACCCCAGCCTGTGTTAGAGAACTGCCCTTTCGCCCTCTACCATCGACATCAAATGCTTCTCTTCTAATGATGGGAGAGGGTTAGTTTTTACGTTGGAGAGTCATGCCCCATTTGTAGCAACCTTAGAGTAAGCAGAGGTATTGTGCTGAAGGCTTGGGTGGGTGTCTAGAGAGGTCACCCACCCAAGAGTTCCAGTCCCTGCTGGGGCCGGTCAGGGCAGCTGTCCCCGAGCAGTCACTCTGCACCGCAGATGGCGAAGGAATTTTGGTCCCTTTGCTTATTCATTCTCCTAACATTCAGGTGGTGGCTTTGGCAAAAGCCTCTTTGACCAGGCAAGTTCCCAGCTTAGTCACTTGATTGGAGCCACAGTACCTGCAATGATCTTTAGTGATCGTATTTCCCATGTGCTCTTTATTCTGTGGGAGGTAGAAAGTTATATTTTTTTCCCAGAGGTCAGCTTAAGGGTGTGCTTGATGGAGATCAATCAATGAGCATTGCTTCATGTTTATCATCAGTGTTCTCTTCCAATCCCTATGCCTTCTTCCACCCACCCTATTTGTTGTGCTTGATTAAGTACACGCATTTCATCTTCAAAATAAAAATTTATTCAGTCTGTAACAAGAACATTGAATCTGCACATTTGCGCACAAGTTCACATTTAAAAACAGCGGAGCACATCAGTAATAAAAAAATCTATGATACAAGTGGAACATCCCAATCACTATGAAGATTAAGGAAGGAGATGAGACCACTCTTTATATTCTGCTTCAAATGCCTCAAAAAGGTCCCAGAGATTCCAGGGAGCACCTGCTTCATTTAATAAAATGTGAGCATAAAAGTTTGGGGTGGCCTGGGGCAAAGGTAACAAAGTCTATTGGACTAGTTTTCCACATTTATAACAAGCCCTACAAAATAATGTAGAGAGAAAGAAAAAAGAAAAAGAAAGAAAAGAAAGGCACCTTAAGCTATACCAAGCAAACCAAGTCCAATAAAACATAAAAACCAACTCCCTGTGGCCTTATTGACTGGGAAACATTTCAGGGCATTCCCCAGTTTACCGGCTGGGTCACCAGCTCGAGCGAAGCCCTGGGCATTAGCTCTGCATGTGTATACAGGATGCTGCCGCCAGTGTTGTGGTGAGGACACAGATAGTCATATACCCCTTGGGGCCTGTTCAAGCCCACGGGGGGTGATTCCAGTTTAGAAATCCTGCCCTAGAACTCGGGGCACTGAGAAAATGAGGCTGGTTCTCTTTCCACAGCAGGAGCCGGGCTGAGTCACCCTGCACTCCAGGCTGGAGGAGTACAGAAGCACCTTGCGAGAGCTCTCCATGGCAACCAGGGACCCCAAGCCCGGGAGAAGGGTTAGGGGTGTGCAGCTGCCTGCGTTGGCAGCAGGCTTTTTCTTAATATGGGGACCGGATGAGTTGAGACACCAAATACAGTTGTCTATACATGCCTTGTTCTTTTAGGTTGAAGGGGAAAACAAAGTCCAAGAGCCTCTTAAGTTGGATTGGTGACGAAAGAGCTAAAATTTCATCTCATCTACCATCCAAAAGCAAAACAAAATTAAACAAAAATGACACTAGCCATTCACCAGTACAACCATCACTGTAAGACACACCATCACTGAGGAGATGACGACTATTTCCGTACAGGGTGTTGGGCGGGAGTGCAGGACACAGATGGAAGTCAGCTCCAGGTTTTCCCCGCTCACCCGTGCGGGCTCACCATTACAGCGGTGCTCTGTGTGAGGGCTCACAGGACAGCCAGGTTTGGGTCCCTGGAGGAGGACACTGAGCTGCCATCAAGATGATGCACGTTTTAATACTCACACAATGTAAACAAAGTATCCACAAATAGTTGTAAAAAAAAAAAAAAAAGCCAAAGAATGGCTTTATTTAAAAATGCCCTTAAAAGTGAACCATTTTGCATAATGCTTTCTTAAAAAAACAAAACACTCCCACAAAAACATCTTTACCAAACATGCCTAGATCACTTCAGAACTGAATCCTCAGAAGGAACAGGTGAAGATTTCTGTGAGCTGCCACGTCTCAGAAGCTTCAGGTCTATCCAACAGCATCTGTCTGCGGCCCTTTATCAGGAGGGGACCTCAGAACCTAGGCTGTCCTCCTCATGCTGTCCTCGGAGCTCTTGGTAATTCCCAAGATGAGAGAGAGGAGATACGGTAGGGATAAAGGTAGAGAACCAGGATAATGCTAGATAAAGAGTTGGAAGAGGCGAGATGCTAGGAATGATCCCAAACATTCAGAATCTGAAAGGCAACCAAAATGAGGAGAGATGAACGTTACTGTACCACAGTACTACATTGTCTTCTATATATACACTACTCCTAAGTGTTTCTAAAATTATAAAAGGGTAGGGGGTTTCTCTCCTTCCTACTGACCAGGTAGCCATCCAGATTACAGCTCAAAATCTGTGTGCTCCTGGGGCTTTTGCCCCATGCACCAAAATGTTATTTTTACACACACACACACACACACACACACACACACACACACACACACACTCACAAAGAGAGGCACTGGGTCAAGGCCTTTCCTACTCATCTCTGTCAACCTACCAGACCTGCTGTCCCAGGGCTGGGTTTTCCATGAACAGGAAATAGAAATAGGCCACCCGAGATTATCAAAAGTTTGAAGAGAAGAGAGTCTGAAAAGTCCTTGATAGCTCATCATGTTCTTTCCCTGGACATCGCTCAGTCATGTAAATAACATAAGAACACTCAGCGGTGCCAGAGTCTGAGAGGACTGGCAAAACCCCTTGGCACTGGCTGGATTGCAGACTCTGTGTAGAAGACGTTTACTTAGGCAGGTAAACTGAATGATAAAAAATATTTTTTAAAAATGGAAGGCGAGCAGGAATGTTTCCTTTAATCCAGTGATCTTCAACTGGTGTGTGGCAAGAATTTTTAAAACCTGTAATACCTGATTATTTAGTCAGGGGCACTGACCTCTTTTCCCTTGGATTGTCAAAAAAAACGACAACAGCCAACACAACAATAGCTGTGGGGTGTGAATGTCCTGTCTTGAACCATAAATATACAGGTCACGGAAAAGAGTTAGCTGCATCTTATTGGTCACGTCGCATAATAAGATTGTGTTAATTCTTGGTACCAGAAATCCTTATATACAAGTATAGGCACCTGATTTTTAAAAGTCACTTAGGAGGCAAAAAGGGTAGGTAATTACTATTTTTAAAAATCAATCAAAATTATATCTATTTTTTGTCAGACTGGCAAAAAGATATATTTTTTGGTGTGCTGCAGAATTTTAGTAATTAGTTTATGTGTGCCATGAGATGAAAAAGGTTCAAAATTGCTGCTCTATTCTTTAAAAGAAAGTTTCTGTTTTTTTTCACAGCATTAGAAGGTTCCCTCCCATGTTTGTTGTTATTTAATGCAGTGAGACTGAGCATCAAACACAGGAGGGGAGAAGAGAGAACAGGACAGTTGTCTATCCTGCTTGTACTTCTTAACACAAGGAATGTCACCGTCTCCAGGGAGTAACATGAATGGACTCCACTGCCTGAACCTCCAGGCAAATCCTCCTCTTCCCAGCCCTGCCAAAATGTCCTGTCCTTTCCCCATCAGAGTGGTGGTGGAGTTGCCTCAATAGGACAGGGCAGTTTAGACGGATGAGCCTCCTCACACTGGTATATACCACCCAACAAAGCACTTTACAACACATTCCATATCCAGGAACCACAAAGCTGTGTGAATGATACATTTGACATTCAAGGAAACTATTTAGGGAAAGCATGGGTATATATAATTACTACACCATAAAGCAGGTCTCTACACGTATAGCAGATTTCTGTCCAATGTGCTTCCTGGCAGTGATGTCAGATGCAACTACGGCTTCCACCTGGCAACTGAATTCACAGCTTCTCGAGCACTTGCGAGTGGCCTCAGTCCACTTCTTCTCTCTCCTCTGAGTCACCCTACTACCTGCCCCACCGCACACTGGCCTCTGACACCACTTTGACGGTCTGTGCAGCTGCCTTTTCCTCTCAGGGCTGTGATGAACCAAAAACCCAAAACTCAAGCCTGTCCTTGGTCAATCTCTCAACAATGTGGACATCAACCAAAGCAAACAGGAATCAAATTTGCAAACCTCTTCAGTTTTGATGAGGGTCCTCCATTCCAGTCTCAATATGTTTTCTGGAAGAGGCTGGTTTATGGCAGGTGCTGCTGTCCTAAGATCTCCACAGCGGCAGCAAAGCAGCGGCATCCTAAACGGACTCTGTAAGGCGCCTGCCCTTGGCGGAGGCCACCCTGCAGCCTCTCAGCCTAGTCCATGAGGAGCTTCCCCCTGGGGAAGCAGGAAGCCGTTAACACTCCCATACACTCCCCGGCTGTGGGTCAGTGAAGGCGAACAACTTTCTGGGATTTCAGTTGAGGACGCAGCTGTCAAACTGTGATCTAAAGGGAACCTTTAGGGGTTTCTCTGAGGAGGGTTACTAATGCATAATTTGGCAGGAGCTAGCAATTGGGAGCCTCCATTTAAACAATAAAACAACTGTCAATATACTCTACAGATTCCTACAACACCCATCAGTTTTATTTCTGTTGTCTTTTTCCAGTATAACTCCTTAAAAAAAATAAATCAAAAAGACCCTCTGACATCAATAACAAAACACTGTAAGAATATGACATTATGTACATAAATACTGTGTAAAAACTAAAGAAATGACAAATCTTCCAGGAAAAGGGGGGAAAAAACTTATGTCAAGTGTTAACAGTGATAATATCAAAAAGAAAACTTTGCATTCAATGGAGGTTATACAAAAGTAATGTAACAATTCAAATGTCATCTATGAAATAAAACAAAACAAAACAGGCAGCATTGAGAGAAACAGCATGAGGGAGGAAAATAAATTGGAAAAAATATGGCCATTAAACTCAGAGGCCCACAGAATTATTCAAGTAATGGAAGGGTTAAAACCCTATATATGTATTCATTTTACAAGAACACATTGACTTTCAATTGCTATTTTTCAAACTTGTCCCCGTTGTGTCTCAGTTTCCCATTTTACCTCCTTATGCTTTTCTCAACAGAGGACCTCTTGGATTTCATTTGGGGTTGACTTTTAATGTAATAAAAAATCTGATTTATTAACAAGTTTATAAAGCCAGCCATTATGATGCCTTTCTTTAACGATCCACTCTGGAACACCAGGAGAATGGATTCTGGAAGACCCCCTTTGAAAATAGCAGAACCTCCAAAGGGCTGGGGCTGGGGACCAGGCTGAGAGAGCGCTGATGTCCCCTGCTGTCCCATTGCCCTTCAGCCCACCTGAAGCATCAGGCCTGGAGAACAAGCCATCGTCACACTGGCCCAGGGGCAGCATTTTCAATTTCCGGCTTCACCCCCACCCTCCCCATCTGCTTCCATCCTCAATCAAGCATGCATGCCTTTTCTCAGAGGGCAAAATGAGGAGCAGGTGGCAGTTGATTGAAAAACAGCAATTTGCCTTTGATAAAGGTGTTCTTTGAAAATGAGTATATTTTGAGGTTTGAAATTTCTAAAAATAAAAAATGATAAAATGGTCTTGCCGTCCAAATCAATCTCTCTCTCACACACACAGAGGGAGAAAACCCTAAACTCTGCATGTGCCAGGAACAGTAAAATGACCAAAATGTTATAAAATTAACCGATAAAGTGCATGTTCCTTACATATTACACCTGCCCCTTTTATAAACATTTCTTTTAGAAAGTCACATGTGTAGGCTCAGAATCACATGGTATTATAGAAAGGGTTGGTTGTCCTTTTTTTATCACTTGCTTTTTTCAGTCTCCTAAGGGGGTGAGTTCTGTGGTGCTGCTGCCGGGGAGCCAAAGCCAGCCCTGGAGCTGGGCCCGCCCACGGCAGCCCCTGGGTCTGCAGCAAAGGCAGGCCTCCTTCAGAACTAGTCAATTCCGGTCCTGCCTTGGGGAGCAAACACTGCTGACTGCAACCAAACTCTTTGGCATACTGTACAAGGGGCCTCTCCACTGGCTTGCTCTGCGCGATACACTCTGTTGTTTTAAGTTGCTCTATAAAATACTTGGTGGGCTCTGGGTTCTGGGGGGCATCTGAGTTTCCGGGGGGCTCCTGGGCCTCCATGGCATGCATGCCTGAGTCTGTTCTGATGAAGGGCTGAAGAAGTTTGAGATGAGGGGACTCAGAGGAGACAGGCTCCCTCTCCAGTAAACAGTCTTTACACAGGTCCAAGTAACCTAACTTGGCGAGGGAAGCTGAACGCCTCATTTGGGATGGTTTGGGGAGCCCTATCTGGCAAATCGCTTGGGATTCAATTTCTTTAGCGTGCGCCTTCACCACACGGGGGCTGTGGCTAAGATCCTTTATATTGTCACTACTAGAGCTATGAGGGAGTCTACAGGCCACAGGTGATGGGTCCAGTTTTTCTTGTAACTTCCCAATGTTGTCACTGCATTTGCTAATTAAGCTTAGGTCTTCACGAGTTAGCTGGGAGCCCTTATATGGCACTTCATTGCCGCCGGACAGGGGGCCCTGACTCTCTTCCCAGCGCCCCGGCTCTGCGCAGGGCTCACTGTCTGTGGTGCTGCTTTGCTCTGTGAAGCCTTCCAGGTGAACCATGGTCTGGGGATGCAGATAATCCAAGTTGGCAGATGGTACGTGGGTGGTGTGACTGACAAATGGCGCTGCTATGTCCAGGGCTGTTGCCGGGCTGTTGCCCCAGTCTTCAGGGCTGCTCAGGGTGGAGGTCGGGTCGGTGGGCCTGTTGTGCTCAGGAGAGGAAGGAGGCAGAGGTAGCACTTTGGGGTACAGAGAAACCTGGTCGGGGCCCAGCGTCCTGTTCAGATTTTCATCTAGTGCACAGAGTACAGTGATGGACTTCTCCACTTTCATTTTCCTCAGTCCTTGCTCCCCACTCTTTTCACTGGTGGCTATTTCACCCCCTGGCCCAGGGTGATTGGGGGATGTAACCGCGTGGGTATACTCAATGATTTCTATCTTCTTGGGAAAAGGGACTCCCTGTGTTTCAGATTCCTGGCATGAAACCACAGTCCGCTGCTCTTTCAGGACTCCTTGCTGTTTGGTTCTAGTCTCTGACTCCGAGCACTCCTGAGGAGCCTGCAAGGGGCAGAAATCCGGCAGCTTGGGTGCTGGAACAATGACATCTTGCTCACAATGCAGTATGGAGCCAGCCTCACACCCACTGGATTTCCCTTTGCTCTTATTCATCTCTGGTTCCCTGGGAACAAACGGATGTCCTAGGGTGGCTTCATCACTCTTCCCTTTCGGTGCCAGGTCTGCCACAGAGGAATCATTCTTGGAATTCTTGCGAGCGGACAATGAAGTACAAGCAGGAGTAACACCGTGGTGCTCTTGCTCCTGCCGCAAGCGTTCCTCAAATTCCAAGGTGGCTCGTCTTACAGACCCAGAGTACCACTTGGCACCTGGGTGTATCCCTGGGCCCCCGAGCTCTTGTTCCCCCTCAGCTGGTTCCTCTTCTTCCAAGTCTGTGGTGGATGAGGGTACAGTTAGGCAGCCTTCTGGGTCCCACTTCCCCGAGTCTTTGGCTAGTTCAGGCTGGGCTGAGCAGGAACCCTCATTCGGCTCCAGATTTCCAGGTTTGTTCTCCGGGGCCTGGGCCCTCTCAAGGGGCATCTCATGGATGGAGTTCTTCTTTGGTGTATGGCATGGGTTGGATAAAATGTCTCCCTTTAGTTGAATCTGTCCAACTCCTTGACTGATAGATTCAATCTCAGTTACAATTTCTTTGACTGAAATTGCGTTCTCTGAGTGAGATTGCATGGAAATGTCTGGGCTGACCAGTTCTGAAATTGCCTAAGAAGAAAACATAGTGAGATAGTTATGGCGAATTGTAGTCTAATGGAAAATGCCAGATTTTTTGATTACTAATCCTCGGATCCAAGAGAACCTTCTGGCTATGAGGACACAAATTGTGGAGTGCCTGGGACTGTCCTCTGCCGAGAACTGTACTCTGACCATCTGTTTCGTTGTACAAGGAAAAACAGATTTATCAAAGGCAGAGATACAAAATTAGTTACAGGTTGTATCACTGTCTACTGAACTTTCTGTTCTGTTTACTCAAACAGGATGCCAATCTAATATCTTGCTCCAAAAATGAACAGCAAATAGCGTTGGTGGCTTCTAATTTTCCTAAGACCATGAGCCTTCAGAACTTAGATCAGACTGGGGAAATGAAATCTTTTCTCTCTGGCCTATATCAACTTCCAGTCAGAGCCTAAGCTAGTTCGAGGGGAAGAGTTCCATTCAAGGGCTCAGTGCCCACCTTAAATATGCCCAGTGTTAGACAAGGCAAGGTTGAGGCTATCATCTGATGTCTGATTTGGAGACTCACTGCTCTCTTCTCTCTTCTGTGTTGCCAGTTTTTTTTCACATCCTCGCGCTTCTAGCAGCAGCATCCCAGCACGTGAGGGCACTATGTATCTGATCATACAATTCCTAAGTGTCACATGGCTCCTCCTGGGAAATGTTTACTTGGCTTATGCAGCCACGTGCCTGAGAAAACTTAGAAACCGTGACTCGCTGACGTTTTATTATTCTACCAGTTATGAATTTCCAGTTGTATTTAGAACAAGGCCAAAGAAAACTGGCCAATGCAAAATCAAGTCCTTTTGTAAAAAAAAAAAAAAAAAAAAAGAACTTCAAAATCTGGAAATGGCCCCTGGACACTTCTTAAAGTGACATCATTATTACCATCCGTCTACTTTAACATTTTTATAAGCCTTCAAAGTACAATATTTCCCTAGTAATTGTTCTGGTCTTTCCCCTTCAGAAGAGTCAGAGCTAGTACAAACTAACAAGGTCAGTTATGCCTTTGGGAGAAATCTGCTGGGACATCAGGCGGCGGCAAACTTGCCAAGCCTGGGAGAAAAGCCATAGCAGGCCGGTGTGTGCATGGGCTGTGGAGGGAGTGCTCATATGACCAGGGACTGTGCCAAAAAGCTATTTCTGTCAGAGCTGCTGCACCCATTGGTCCAAAGGAGAGCTCAAGCATTCAGATTTCCTAGTGGACTCAAAGCAGAGGGACAGCCTTTGGGAAGAGGAGAGGACAACAACTACCCTCACATGGTTAAAAAGAGAGAGAACAGATGAATAATGGACAAGGTATAACTATAAGTAGATAAACATCAGAAGATGTCAGCTCCACGGAGTTCATTCAGTGAGGTTTGGTATGTTAGAGTAAATTCGTCACCATTTATTTTCCAACTACTATTATATTGATTAAAATGCATCCCAATTTCAGAAGTGTCAAAATGAGAATAAGTGTGAGCCTTACAAATAGTGATATACAGTAATTCTTTCCCTAGTCTGCAATGGTTCCCAAGAGCTCATATGCCACTGAGAAGAATCTTAGAATTCTGTCTGCTCTCAAATCACTTCCACAAACCATCCCTCAACTCCTGAATACCACGGGGTCTGAGTCGAGGAACAATTCAGAAACATTATTAACAGAAGAACTCAGCATGGGATTTAGGTGCTACTCCAACAGCTATTTACACATGTCTAGTCTTAGACTTTTCTGAGACAGAAAGACTTTTCCAAACAAACCCATCTTTTCAGAGACATACAAGTCTCACTCAGGCAGCATGTGAGTCCCTGGCACTTCATTACGGGTAAGATTTGATCGGAACGGCAGAGGCCCAGGGAGTGGACCGCTCTTTGTTCAGCCAAGAGTTTTTTTGTTTTGTTATCCCTTCTTTCCTCATCCCCTCAGAAATGGTTTCCAATGGCACCAAAAACCTGAAAAGATAAATTCTTCAAAAGGCAACTAATTAAAAAAAATATTTAAACCCTGTTTTTAAGGAGAGTCTCAGCCAGACTTTCTCTCCCACACTGCCATCCTAAATCTTGAGCCACATTAAAAAGAAAGTGAACACAGCAGAGTCCCAAATATTTTGTCTTAGAAGAGAATACCTTAGGTGGAGAACTATAAAGATAGCTTTTACCTTTGACTGTTCCTCATCTATTGACGAGTCTTCGGATGCATGGGGAGTGTTACTCAAAGAGCTGCTTCTCTGGTCCTCAGCTGTCACTTCAGAAGGGGCTACTTCTACCACTGACAGTCGACAGCTTTCACTCCTTCCTCCACCCAGTTCCTCCATCCTTGAGTGGGAAAAAGATCGTGACCGGGTTTCTTGAGAAAGCTCTACAAACTTCTCCAGGGCACTAAAAAAATCAATGCGATCTGTACTAAAATCTGAGACTTCAGCCTGGCAACTGGGTTGGGGGCTTGGTGACTCAGGATCAGGGGACATGGGGAGGTCTTTCAGGCGAGATGTCAATTCTTCCATTGGCAGTAAGTGGACGTTCATGTCTGCTTTCAGTGCATCTGTCTCCAAATCTTCAACTGTTAAGTCTGAGAACTTGTTGGGCATTTCTGGGGCCTGTCCAGGTTGGATTAAGGCTTTGGATCCATGGCAGTTGTCGAGGGGGAATTTTGATTCATTGAGACAACACCCTGATGTACATCCATTGATGTCATTTAGGTTTAATTCATCTTCAATCTGTCCGGCATGAAATTCCCTAGAAGTAAACTCCAAGCAGATCACTCTTTCTTTGGTACACAGGCCTTTCTGATTTTCATCTTGTGGGACAACATGTTCCACAAAGACAGGAGGTATAGATGGGTGACCTTCCATGGTCTTTACTTCGGCAATCTGGTCTGCTGAGGTGGTGATCTCCTTCTTGTTGAGTTCTAGCCCTGGCTTGCAGATGGGTTCATGGTGGTCTGAGAGGTCGCTATCTGAATGAGATCTCCAGAGCTTGTTATGCCGCTGCTTGCTGTGGAGGACATACACAAGAAACATTTTAGTCTGGTCTGTGAAAACAATCAGCACCCTCCCAGGAAACCCTCCCAGATAAACTTAAAATGTAACCTGCAAAATGCTTTTTTAATGCCCAATGGAAGTAGGCAATAAACATTTGCTTAATTTAACTAACAGCAAAAACAAAAGCAAAACAAAAACAAATAAATATGAGATCTCATTTTTTAACCTATTAGACTGACAAGAGCTAACCTGGTTGCTAGCAGCTAGTGTTACTGAGAGTATGGCCAAGCAAGCCCTCTCATATACTACTATTGGGAGGAATATGAATTTTTAAGAGTGAACTCTGGCAATAGTTCTCAAAATTTAACCCTTTAACCAGCAATTTTTCCTTCAAGAATTTTTCTTGGAGTATTACTACTATAAGTGCATAGAGATATATTAAAAGGATGCTCACTGTAACGCTGTGGTCCTAAAACATTAGACACCAAAAGAAAAAAAAGATTTATTTAAATTACAGTCCATACACCTCTATGCTATGAGGCTGGTAAAAAAAAAAAGTCAGGTGTTTTAGTAGAATGATGTCCAAGGTATACTATCAAGCAAAAAAGCATGTTGAACACAGTTGAAATGGTCAGTTCCCATGTTAGAATAAGTATAGGAAAATATCTGGAGGAACATCTCCAAACTGGTAACAGTTCTTTCAAGGGAAGGTAAAACTACTTTTGGGGAGGGCTTTACTCTCTACACTCTGCATTTCCGTAATTTTTGAAATTATAAAATAATGAGCATGTTTATCATTCATTAATAATCAGAAAAAAAACCTAGAACAAAACAGCACTTGAGTAATACAAGGTGAAACAGTCTATGGAAGCTCATTACAAATCCTCATAACGGGGGTGAAGAGCTGATACCGGATTAATCACTGACATGAAAGTGTGAGGAGGGTGGTGATCTTTCTTGAATTAGAAGACAAAGATGAGGCTAGTAAACCTGGCAAAAAAGGTTGGTAACAGAATGGAAGAGGATTAGCAGAGAGTACAGCCCCTTTCATAAGGATCTTTGGATAAAAACCATCAGGCTAGGGCGACACCTGGAAAAGCAGATGGGCCAAAGGAAGACCACACACATCCATCCATCCTTTGGTTTATTTTATGGAGGGAAGGTCTGATGTGGGAAAGGTATTTCATTTCAAACCGCACTCTTGAACAAAGAAGCACAGTTCTCAAAGCTCTAGCCAAAAAGAGAAAGGTAGCCCTGTGGCTGTCAGGATCGCCTGCCCAGGGAATAGGTCACTAACTGGTTTCTGAGGGATGGTTTCCATGACTTACAAGTTGATGAAGAGTGACCTAACCGCAGGGTAAAATGGGCAACAGCCCAAAACAACTTATCCTGGGCTCAGGGCCACGCCTGCCTCAGAGGCCTGTAAATCTCTGCTGAGTCATGTGCCTGCACTAATGTGAACCCCTGTTTGTTCTCAAGTCTGCACCTGCTCTCAGCTCCCCGTGCCTGTCTGCTGCTTGGGTGGGGATCTTTCTGACTCAGGCCTGCACAGCAAAAGGATGCTTTTCTGAGTAGGTCAATCTGTTTATGAAGACAAGCTATAACCAATCAGTTGGGTGTAAGGTAGGGTTTTCACTCTTTTCAAGTTGCAAGAACTCAGCCACCCCTAGGAGGAGACAACATATCACACATCCCAAACGAGTGAATGGCTATGTGGAGGAGCAAGCTGACTGGTTGGATAGATGAGGCCTAACAGAGACCAACCAATGCCAATGTGCTTCCCTTTCAAGTTTCTTTTTTCAAATATAGACACCTTTGCTTCCTGATCTAAGTACGACTGTGTTCTCCAATTTCCAGCCCTCACCTATATAAGCATGTTCAAACCTGCACCGATTCCTCTTAGCCACCGTGGCAGGACATTTCCCATCATGCAAATGACTAGGAAGACATCTCAGGGAGTGGCTCTCACCCTTCTAATAATGTAAAAGAACATCTTGTCAGTCAACAGGCAAATGGGATGTTTTCATGACCCCAAGAACCCACAAGGTATGATTTTTAAAACTGCCTGCAAACCACGAACCAATCAGGAGGGAACGAGACACTGAAGTTACGCTAATAGGCACAAACAGTGCATGCTGCAGCGGAACTGGCTGGCATCATTTCCCAGCGGGATTTCTTTCTCTTCCTGGAGGAGATAATCACCAGAAAATATTGGGTCAGGGCTCTGGAATTACACTGACACCTACTTGTAAAGGAGAAAGAAAACCCCCAATCTGAAGATAGGTCTGATTCTGCCGCGTGTTTCATTTTTGCAATAGGACCTGCATGGAGAGTGTGGTAGGCAGCTCTTGGATACGGTCAAGATACTCACCACCAGGGCCTCTGAAGCACTGCTGCTCTATGGGCCCTTCCTGATCCCTTCCCTCCACTCTCCCCCCTCAGGGGTTATTAACCTCTGTCCTGAATTTTGTGCTTAGCATTGCCTTTCATTTTTTTTTTCTTTAGAGTCGCCACGTTTTGTTCTTAATGATATACTGCTCAGGTTAGCCTGTTTTGAAGTTTATATAAATGAAATACTGTATGGATTCTACAACCGTTTTGTTGCCTAACTCTCTGTTTTTAAGATTCATCGATGTGCACAGCTGTAATTTCAGAGTAAAATTTATTTACCCATCCTGTTGATGAGCAGTTCTGGCTATTACAAACAATACTGCATGGCCATTCCTGGGCCTGGTGCACACTTTGGTTTCTCAAAGACGTTTTATATAGGGGAACAGAGAGGTGGGTCACAGGGCATGCATAAATCAGATTTTACCTAGGAACACCAAACTGCTTCCCAGCGAAGCTTTTTCCCAAGCCAGCTTAAATGCTCCTTCACTAGTTGGAATAGATGGAAGGCATTAGATCATATTTATTATTTTAAACTGTTAATATTTAAATCCAGCTGACATCCCCCACCTGGTTCCAGGTAGGTAGCAAGTAAACAAGTTGCCAAAAAGAACTTCAGAGCTGGTTTGTGGTCTGGATGACGCAACCAACTCCAGTTCTCTTCCACCTTGAGTGGCCTCTGACCTGAGTAAGAATTTGGCCTTTTACTTAGTAAATGGATAAGAAGGAAATGTAAATGACAGGATGCACATGATATCCCATTTTCCTGTCTTGACTTGCTTTCTTTCATATTGTTATATGTTTGGGAAAGCACTAATTCTATTGGAGAAAGTTATATAGAGGAAAATATTGCTAAAAATAGAATATCAGTTATAGTAAAATCAGATTGTTTATGGTTACTTCTTAGGGCATTAGGCAGCCTGTAGAAAGGAGAAGAGAAAAAGCTTCAATTGAGCATTTTCTGTGTGCTGTGCTTTAAGAATATGTTTCTGAAAAGCTATTAAGAAAATCTTTAAAAAAAGAAAAGAAAATCCTTTAAATGTTGATTGTGATTGGTTGTCACCTGACCAGGACCACATCCTTTTATTCTCGGGTTCCCTACTGCTGGCTCACTACTGTGCACCAGCTAACTAGACTCAATGTCTCTACCAGCAAAGCCAGAGTAAAAGACAACTCTACCTCCTCTGGCTCTGGAGACAGCGGTGTTCAAAGAATCAAAACTGACATCTGTGAGGACATGTGGCAAAAACTCTCCCTGGCCACCACCCAGTTTTTCCTCCTTGCCTTATACCCTGGAACCTAATATCACAGACACATGGTCAGCTTGCAAAAGCCTGAAATCCGAACTTGCCTAATGGAACATAAATCTGCCAGATACCTGCATGATCAGAGTCGAGAATAACAAACAGGGCTGCTGGCTATTCAATGGAGGATTTCAACACACACACACACACACACACACACACACACACACACACACACACACCTCCTCCTGCCTCATTCCCTGACTATAAAAAATAAAATTAGATATGAATAATATCAGTGTCTTTATGATATCCTTTAGGTCTAAGGGAGAATATTAAATATTAGACTTCTTCAGACTCTTAATATGCAAAAAATCCCTTGTATTTCAGAGGGGCTATATCTGTTTGGCCCACAGCCTCACATTTTGATTAATAAATTGCAACTAATTCATAAATCACTTTGCTAAACCTCTCTTCTACCAACCAAGAGGTAAAAGTACCAAGCTAAGAGACTCACAAAGAGTCTGCCATCTCAAATTAAGTACTCAGTGCCACCCTGGACAACCATGTGGCTAGAGAATCTAGGCTCAAGGCTCTGTCTCTCTGAGAAAACCACCACAGGCTTCCTGGGAGGAGATACGAAACACAAGACTTAAGTAGCTGGGTAGGAAATGGAATTTCTTTGCAAATAGAATGAGTGGGATTTTTCTAAGGACTGTCCTCTCCTGGTTACCTAAGCTGCAAAGCTAGTCAGAGCTCCAGACAATCACAGGAGTCTGGGGCTTTTTCGCTTTTCTAAGCAAGCACTCAGGGTTGTGCAAGAATCTGCTGGGCCCAATTCACTTGGCAGTTAGCTTGGCAGGTAGCCTGCAAGTGCCATTTCTGACAACACCTCATAGACTGCAGACCCTAGTGGCTGCTCACTCAGCAGGCACCCCCACGCTTTCCCCTCGCTGGTGGAAGCCTGATTTGGTCGGGGTATTCAGTGTCCCTTGGGTTCAGGGAATGCAGTACTTCCCTAGCACCAGAGCGTGAATGTGAATTTGTTTAAGCCAGCCCAGGAAATTCCATTTTCCTGGCCAGTGATTAGTTTTAACCACATGACCCAGTCCTGGCCAATGAGTCCTGTGGAGAAGTCTATTGAGGAGGTTCTGGGAAAGGTCTCCCCCATAATTGAAATGCCCATTCCTTCAGCCAGATGCTGTGGAATTTACATGTAGATGCCTAGAAATGTGGCCGACATATGGCAATCATGAGGAGACAAGTTCAAGGACCAAGCCATTAACCAAGGAAGGCAGAGAAGAAAGATGAAGAGTACCCAAGTCCCTGATTATATCACTGAGCCATTACAGAGTCTAGTTCTGGGCTTCCTGTTACAAGTGATGGCACATGGTACAACTTTTAAAAATACCTAAAGCTTGGTGTTGGGCCAAATGTCTTTTTAAAAAATATATATATTTTTATTGATTTCAGAGAGGAAGGGCGAGGGAGAGAGAGATAGAAACATCAATGATGAGAGAGAATCATTGATCGGCTGCCTCCTGTACGCCTCCTACTGAGGATCAAGCCCGCAACCTGGGCATGTGCCCGTGACCAGAATCAAACCCGTGACCCTTCAGTCTGCAGGCCGACGCTCTATCCACTGAGCCAAACTGGCTATGGCTATGCTGCCCTTTTTACCCTCATTTAAGATTTTCCTGAAATTTCTTTAACACCTAAGAAAACCACATACACTGAAAAAAACCCAACCTAACAGCTTGCAGTAGCCTGAGATTCCAGAATAAATACTGAAATTGGCCGGACACATAGTACCCTTCCTCTCACTGGGTCACGGGAGGACACTGCCTAACATCCGTCATGTGTCTGGGAATATATAATATTTATATCTCAACCAAACCTCAGATGCCTCTTTCTTGTGCCAGAAAGAACTGCTGTGTTCTACCTTCTGATCTAATCTAAAAATGTCATCAATATCTGGCCCCAAAGACCTATAAATTCTTTTTAAGTGGAGGAGACTTTCATAGCCTCCCAGCCTCCTAAGAGAACAGCTCAGAGGAAACCATGCCAAGTGCTGAGTAAATGGGAGGGTTTTTTAGTGGAAACCATAATGCTGTGCTGTGACCACATTTTCACAATACTTTGGGGTTGGAGGGTGGTCCCTCTGCCTGGATAGGCTAGAAGGCTCTTGAATATTTTGTTCAGGGGAAACACAGCCCAGATTCAAGAGTCAAGACCAAGTCATGAGACTTACTGGAGTTAAACTCTGGCACTAGGCCCCAATGCTTCTAGGCAGCTGTGCCTTCACCCTAACAAAACCACCGAGAACATGCCTACATGGCAACAACGAAGCAAAATCTAGCATTCCACAGAACTTCAACATGTGGCATCTCTGGAAGCTGATCGTTAAATCCAGCTTAATACCTGAATCTTTTCCCCCAGAGCAGCTGAAGGTGGCTTTCACCACCAAAGGTGTAATAAATAATGCAGTGAAACAAATTATTCATTTTATAACCAATTACCAACTTACTGATGGAACAGCTAGTTCTGATTGAGACAAGAAAATGTTCAAGACCTAGTACTGGGTCGACAGAGAAAGACAAATACTGTATGGTCTCACCTACTTGTGGAATCGAAAAAAGCTGAACTCAGAGAAACAGACAGTGGAGTGTTGGCTACCAGGAGTAGGGGTTGGGAGAAATGAGTAGATACTGGCCAAAGGGTACAAACTTCCAGTTACAAGATTGCCAAGTTCTGGAGAATCTAATGTATGGCATGGTGATAACAGTTAATACTTTATTATATAGTTGAATGTTGCTAAGAGAGATCTTAAATATTTTTACCACAAAAAAGAAATGTGTAAAGGGATGGAGATGTTAGCTAATGCTATGGTGGTAAGCTGTTTGCAATGTATAAATGTATCAAATCAACACACTGTACAGCCTAAATTTACACAATACTATATGTCAATTATATCTTAACTAGAGGCCCAATGCATGAAATTTGTGCAAGGGGCTTGGCCCTCGCAGCCACGGCTTTGTCCGAAAGGACATCTGGTCTAATTAGCATATTATGCTTTTATTATTATAGAAGGTAAACCTGGGGGAAAAGGAATAAGTGATGGTTAAGTGCAGTGTAAGTGCTCAGTATATGTTGTTACAGTTGAAAGGTAAGATAATGTCAACTGTTTCTGTAGGTATTGAGTTTATAAATAATTTTTCCTTTGTAATTTTTTTTTGCATTTTTACAAAGCATATACAGGATGGGGCATACACAGGCTTACAGTTATTTGTATGGAAAATAATACAGTGATTAATAACCTCTCTCTTAACTCTCCCTTCCTCTCTCTCTCTAGAACCAATGAAAAGCACATCCTCGGATGAGGATTAAAAAAACACACCAATAGGTCCAGCTGGAGTGGCACAGTGGTTGGGCATCAACCTATGAACCAGGAGGTCATGGTTCGATTCCACATTGGGCACATGCTCCGGTGGCAGGCTCCAGCCCCAGTAGGGGGCGTGCATGAGGCAGCTGATCAGTGATTCTCATCACTGATGTTTCTCTCTCTCTCTCTCTCCTCTCTCTCCATCTTCCTTCCTCTTTAAAATCAATTTAAAAATATGTATTTATATGTAAAAGCAAAAGAACTATTTCTGGGATGCACCTTTCACCCCAATATATATCCCAATTCTGCTGATGTTGTCACATGACCCAAATTACTGGAGTGGGCTCAGTGAAACCACGCACTGGAAAAAAAACGTCCAAAGTAGCAGCAGGCACTTTTCTTTTCTTTTTTTTTTAACAAATGGGTCAAATAATTTCTAAGAATTTCAGCTATGCCTAGAATTACCTTGGGAGCAATCCATTTTGATAAGGCAGTGCATCTGGCATTAGAAATTGTTGAGAAGGGAGAAGTGGAGGAGGATATAGGCGGATAAATGGTGATGGAAGGAGACATGTAGGGTGGTGAACACAAAATACAATATACAGATGATGTTATGGAATTGTGCACTGAAACCTATATGATTTTGTTAACTAGTGTCAGCCCCAATAAATTCAATAAAGAGGGGAAAAAAGATATTGAGAAGTGTTTGTTAGAATCTACACCCAGGTGAGAACTGAAAAAAGGGAATAGTATTTTCCACCCTTTAGTTTAAATTACAGGGCGAAAAATAATGTTAGTTTTCATTAAATGTCTAATCTCCCATGCTAATCTCAAATGCTTATACTTATTTTGTAAAAAACTGGCTAGAGATAACAATTTTTAAACATGTGACATATCCATGTTAGGCTGTGACACATCCATGTTAGGCTGTGACACACCAATGTTAGGCTGAGAACTAGCTGCAGAGAAGGACATTTTGCCTTTCCTTAGGGAGCGTAAGGATGGAAAATCTGAGAAAGTCACACTTAAGGACCCACCTTGCCAGCAGAATCCCCTGGTACTCTTCCAGTTGTCTCATGAAGCTGGGGTTGGGCTTAGTCACTGTTCGTCTTTCCTTCACATAGTCATAGGCTCGGTCCAGATTCCAGCCATATTCCTTCATTGCATAGGCAATCACAGTGGAGGCTGAGCGACTCACCCCCATTTTGCAGTGCACAAGGCATTTAGATCCATGTTTCCTAGTTTGGGGATTGAGGTAAGAGGAAAACACAATGGTGAGTATACTTTCAAAGCCGGGGTTTGAAATGTTTCCAAGTGTCCTGTCCTGCCCTTCCATTTTCTTGCTATGCAACCCATCCCACCTTGTGCACTTGCATACATCTACAATCAGCATGCAGGGAGGGAGGCAATTCTAGTGTACTCAAACTATATTCAATGTTAACAGTAAGCCTCTTTAATTCATTCAGCAAACATTTATCAGGTATAAGACAATGCACAAGGTACTATGAGGCACAATAACATTTTTTCCCTAAAAGGTAGAATTCAGTGGAAGAAGCAGACAACGTTCACAATGGTAACTGAAATGCCAGCTGGTCACAGAGTGCTAGGGGAGAATTTTCGATTTAGAGACTGGACCACTGTGGCCGAAGGCCAGTCCCTCCATGGTCCCAGGGGCATGTTTCATGGCTGGCAGTCTCTTGAGCTACAGGTGTGGCAGTGATTCACCTAATTTACCCAAATGTTCTCAATTGCTTCCAGTTCAAGTTCCAGTCAGGGTTCTGACCCTGGAGGAGAGCACAAACCAAGTGAAACTAATCCTCCTCTGTACTCAGATGTAGCCCCGGATATTACTTTTCACAACATCACCACCCATGTTCTGTCTAGGGACTGGCTGTACAACCAGTGGAGCTGGATGGGACCATGAGATAAATGCATCATGTGGCTCTTTTAGTAAGGAGGGTGGAATACATAACTACCCCCCTTTTCTTAATGGGGTGGAAAAACAAGAAAACAAAGTTACCATAAGGTGATACTTACAACAAACACAACTAACCCTCTCAGTCTTAACATGCCAGAGTTTATTTATCTTGAATATGAGCATTACTTGGTTATGCTAATTCTGCTAATAACACAATGTCTGGCACAGAATAAGCCTTCTGATACTTGCTAAGTGTGTGAACAAACTTATGGATCTGCTGATTAGATCTGTCAGCTATAAGTAGGAACAACATTTTTAAATCCGAGAAAGAATGATTACTCTTATCACTAGTGTCATGGGCTGGAATTCTCCCAAGTAGCTATTCCAATAAATTTAAAAATGCACGTGTCAGCCTAAAAGGGGAAATCTATTCATCCACTTGCTCCCTGTATTATAGTAGATAAGCTTCCTTGGGGAAGCTTATAACTCTCCTACTGGAGGAGACATGGGAAAGTTCAGCACCAATGCAAGGAGGCACAAGTTTAAGTGCCAAAATGAGTGAGCCAAATAAGCTAAAGGCATGCAGAGAACAGTCTGGAATAACTGAAAGTCTCAAAAGGAAGATAAGATTAACCTCCTAGCTGTCAATTAGATGCAAAATGTTGATGTGGTGTGTTTTTGTGCTTAGATTATCCCAAAGAACTAGGAAATACTTGTTTCGTTTATGGCACCATAGGGTTTTCATTTACACTACAGTTGGGAAGCCAATGCACAGTGACTCAGGTGGAAGTTCAGACATGTGTTCAAATATATGCCCATCAAGCTCTGACAACTTTAATGCATAAAATTTCAGGTCTATACCTGCAGGCATGGAAAGTGTTCGAACTTGGACAATCTTAAGAAAATGCAATTATAAAATCCACTTCGATGAAAACATTTATTCATATTAAACCAGGCTTTTTCAGTGGATGGCTTCTAACTCACGTAACGAAGGATCTGATGTCAGTTTTCAACTAACTCTATTTAAGTCCCCCTCCAACCCCCCGGCGCCTAGTGCTGGATTGTCCAGATTAAGCCTGGTATCACATTGGTAACCCTAAACTCACCCATATACAGATTCTGGAATTTAGGGCCCTGATTAGGTAAAACACATGAGGTGCCCAGTGTGCCACTCAGGAGAAACTCACTCTCAGATGCAGGAGCCTGAGAGTGAGTGTCTGCTTCAATGTAACCTGGGCACCTCATGCATCTCATTCTAATCCCAGCCCTGCTGAAATCACCCTTTCTTTTCATTGGGACTGGGGCCTCACCTTGCACTCTAGCTTCTTCAGCTGTGACCCTGACAACTTGCCTAGTTCTTTCTTTAAGGGACTATAGACTATTCTTATATCATCTTGGGTTTAAGTACTATCCTCACCATTTGTTTCTTAACCTCTCTGAATCTTATCTCTATAGTCTGTCCACATCTATACAGAAGGATAACAATATATGCCTCCCTGGGTTTTGGAAAATATTACATGAAAGAATACACATAAAGTACCTGGCACATAGTAAGCATGCCTTGGGTGGCATTATTATTGGGAATCCTATATAATAAAAGCCTAATATGCAAATTGTTCAACTAGGAGTTCGACTGCTTGCTATGACGTGCTCTGGCCACAAGGGGGGGGGGGCGGCACAGAACATGGCAGGTGTTGGCGATGCTGCACAGGTGGCAGTGGAGGCACTGCCAGCACCAATGGGCCCATGGGACCATGGCAGGATGGTGGAGCAGGTGAACGGGCAGCGCCAGGCCAAAGCGGGTGCAAATGGGGGCCTGATTGCCCGGCAGATCACCCTGCACATGGCGACCAGTGGCAGTGGCAAGGGGGTGGGGCTGCCACCTGGCTCCCAGGTGCTGAGGGAGTGGGCCACCCAACCCTGACTGATCGCCCCATATGGTGACCAGCGGCTGGCAGGCCCTGATCACCCAATTGGGGCCAGGCCCTGGGCTGGGACAGAGAACTGGGGATGGGTGGGGAGTGGGGGAGGGCTGCGACCTCTCGCTGGCTACCTGGGGGCTGGGGTGACGGGGACGGAGGTGCGGTGAGAATGTGGGGTGTCTGCTGAGCTCGCTCTCACTCCCCCTACTAACCTCCCCTGGGAAGCCAGGGCTTGCGCCAGGGAAGCCCCTCTGCGTGCCGGGCACCCCCAAGGAGCCCACCCCACACCCCTGTGGCCTCTTCCAGGTGAGCCGGGCTACAGCTGCTGACCACAGGGGCCAGTTGGGCCCCCTGTGGGTTTGTGCAGGAGCAGGTCTGCGAGGCTGGCCGGGAGAGACTGTGCTGCCTTCCTGGCTTCCATGCAGCACCACTGGGCGGCCCAGAGGCCCATACTGCGCCCTGGCCCATGGCATCCGGCCAAGCTCACCCCATCTCTGCATGGGGACTCAGGCGCCATGACTCAGGCAGAAGGGGGCGTGTGGGGGCTTGGGGGCCCAGAGGTCAGCTGGGACCTGCCCTTCCACACCAGATGCTTGTGCTTCGATCGCCGGCCAGGCCTAGCTTTATCTATATATATATAACAGCCTAAGTGACCAGCCAACCGGCCGACTGCTATGATGCACAATGACCACCAGGGGGCAGATGTTCAATGTAGGAGCTGCTGAGGGACAGCAACTTTGCAGAGTGCCCTCTCACACTCCGGGACCCCTCGGGGGATGTCGAACTGCCCGTTTCGACCCGATCCCTGCAGGCCAGGCCAAGGGACCCCACCTGCCAGAGGGACCCTGCTCACTCCACAGACACCCTTAGAGCCCCAGTGCTGCCCCGGGTGCAGCTGGCCGGGGAGGTTGGCTCCAGGGTGTGTCTGGCCTGTCTCGCTCAGTCCTGTCCTATTGGCCACCTTCTAATTAATTTCCTTTCAAGTGCACGAATCTGTGCACTGGGCCTCTAGTAATTTAATAATAGAATATAAAATGTTCTTCAAGAATATAAAGTGCTCTTTTAGGTGCTACCTAGAGACTAAGAGAATGAGCTCAAAGCTAGGGTATGGGAATTTAGGTAACTAAAAGGAAGAATCTCCTCATCATGAAAGTCCTTAAGAGAAGTATGGACTCATTCTTAAAGGAGGAGTTTACAAACAGAAGTGCCTGTCACCTGCCAGGGATGATTTGAATGTGGTCCCACCTGAAGGAGGAGTGTGGCCAACATGTTACGCCCTCTCTATTGAAGGCATAAATAGGATTGGCAAGGAAATCCCCAGGGACTTAAAAAACAAATGAGTGTCGAGCCCTGGCCAGGTGGTTCAGTTGGTCATCCCGTACACCAAAATGTTGTGGGTTCAATTCCTGGTCAGGGCACATATCCCCGGTCGGGGCATGTAAGGGAGGGAACTGATGGATGTTTCTCTCACACATCAATGTTTCTCTCTCTCTCCCTTCTCTCTAAAATCAGTAAGACATATTAAAAAATGAGCGCTGACCTATTAATACTAATTCATACTAAACACTAAATTAAAATAATCAAATAGCTTCACTAAAAGGACCAATTAAAATTTTAAATTTAAGGAAGACATCAACAGAAAGGCCAGAGAAAAATCTCACTATTTAGAGTATCATAAAAGTAAAGTTAAAAAAAAAATGAGAAAAGATTTCCAAAGATCTCCTTGTTTATAGAGAGGAGGACCCAGTATTCTATCTGTGTGGAATAATGTCAATTATACAACTTTAAAATGTCTCCATTGGCAACTTAAGCATTTCATTCAGAATTTCTCCCTTCTCTCATTTTTATTTCTTTAGCTGCAGCTTAAGTTTATATACTCTAATTTTTTGCTCAATGGAACTAGCCAACATGAGATCATCTTTCAGGGACTTCATCTACTTACAGGAAAAGTATTAAGTCACTAGTCATCTTTCCCTGAGGATTAAGAAAGCTCAGTCTTCATTTTAAAAATTGATTTTACAGAGAGGAATGGAGAGAGAGAAACATTGATGTGAGAGAGAAACATTGATCGGTTGCTTCCCTTTTGCACCCTGACCAGGGATCAAACCTGTACCTTGGGTATGTGCCCTGACTGGGAATCAAACCTGCTACCTTTTGGTGCATGAGATGACACCCAACCAGCTGAGCCACACTAACCAGGGCCTTTTTTCTTTTTTCTTTACTTCCTTTTTTTCTGAGTACTCTCAGTAAATACTTATTTCAGGCCCCAGGCATGTGTGGTGCACATGGAACAAGGGTAAGGATGTGTTCGAGACCCATTACTTACTTTGCTTTAGAGATGAATTTGTAAGTGTCATTCCAGTAAGCCAGGAGATCCGTTGCCTCTTCATCATATACCCGAATGTTATGATATTCGAAGACTCCTGGGAAGAAGTTATCTATCTCTCGAGTGACATTCAAAATATACCGCACCCTGCAAAGAAACCAAGGGAGAAATTGGCTCTACTACTCAGGCTAAATCCAATTTCTAGCACTGCTTTTCTTATTTACAACTTTTTTACTCCCTATGCTGAAATTAAATACCAAAATATTGAAGAAAGCTAAAAAACTAAGAGGCTATACTTATTTAGTACAGAAACTGTATAATAGGGTCCTGGGCACACCTGCGCACCAGGGAGTTACTGGGAGAAAAGTTGTCTACCAAGTTGAACATCTAAATTCCATTTCAATTTGCGTAGTTACACAATTTCATCTTGGATAGTCTTTTGAAAACATGTCTTGTATTTTACTCAAAAGAACCAGCCTGAGGCCCATGAGGGAAAATTCCTCTATAGTCACTAAAATTACCAGCAATATAATTTATTCTTTGGAGGTCACTTGTATTAAATTATGTATCTCAAGAAACAAACAAAAAAAAACAGAAGAAGGAGAAATTTCCTCCTATTTTTCTAAATGCCAGATAGTCAGATTTTGCTCTCCTACTCTCTCTAAACTATGAAATGCAAATGAGACCAGAGCTGGGAGGGTCAGAGGAAAGTTGGATTTGAAACTCTCTGAACTCTCTAGGCTGCATTCCTGGCTGCCATGGCAGCAGATGTGTCTGAGGGCTCTATACTGAGAGGCCTGCAGGAAAGAGTTTCTGTATCAAAAAATTTTTCTGCTATCTGTCTCCCTGCACAATCTCAATAAATGCTCGGGTTTGATTTGCCAAAGGGTGATCTTTCCTTAATGCCGTGTGAACTTAGATATCACGGGAGTTTGCTCCAACAACACAGCACAGGCTCCCTCATTTTTCTGCAGAACCTGCTTCCTTCTCAGAATCGCATAAAGGGAGGGTTCTACAAACCCATCTCCGAAGTCAGAGAAATGACTACAGGAAGGGAGAGCCGTAGCTAACCAGTTCTGTGGTTAGGTGAGGAGGCCAAAATTGTTCTGGGATATGATTTGAATCTGTTAACTCAGCATCAAAGTTTATTACTAGAAATGATTTTTCTTTTTAATTTAAAAAGAAAGCATGTGCAACTTGGGAAAGTCTAACAGTTCCCCAAAAGGTTAAACACAGAGTTACCATATGACCCAGCAATGCCTCTCCTAGGCAGAAACTCAAGAGATATGAAAACAGAAGTCCACCTAAAAATTTGTACATGATTGTTCATCTCAGTTTTTAAAATAGCCAAAAAGTAGAAACAACCTAAATGTCCATCAACTGATGAATGGATAAATTAAATGTGGTATATTATGGAATATTATTTGGCAAGAAAAAAGGAATGAAGTACTAATAATACATGCTATAACATTAATAAATGTTGAAATATAATGTTAAAAAAATTCTTAAAAGACCACATACTGTATGATTCCATTTACGGTATACGAAATGTTCAGAATACACGAATCTATAGGGACAGACAGTAGATTAGTAGAGGCTAAGGGAAAGAAGGCAATAAAGGCAGCTAAAGAGTATAGGCTTTCTTTTTGGGTTGAAAATGTTTTAAATTGCTTGTTGCACAACTGTGAATGTATTAAAAATCACTGAAGTATACATTTTCAGTAGATGAACTGTATGGCATATGTATTATCTCTCAATAAAACTGTCAGAAAAAGCCCGGCCAGTATGGTTCAGTGGTTGAGCAATAACCTTTGAACCAGGAGGTCACAGTTCGATTCCTGGTCAGGCTTGATCCCCAATAGGGGCCTGCAGGAGGCAGCTGATCAATGATTCTCTGTCATCACTGATGTTTCTACCTCTCCCTCTTCCTTTCTCTCTAAAATCAATAAAAACATAGTTTAAAAAACTGTCAGAAAAAAAATGAGCAAGCACACTTCTTTTATTTAAAATAAAAATGCATGCCTGGCCAGTGTGGCCCAGTGGTTGAGTGACAACCCATGGACCAAGAGGGCCCTGGTTCAATTCCTGGTTGGGGCAAATGCCCGGGTTGTGGGCTCAATCCCCAGTAGGGAGAGTGCAGGAGGCAGCCGATTGATGTTTCTCTCTCATCTATGTTTCTATCTATCCGTCTGCCCTCCTCTCTCTCAAAAACATTTTTTTAAAAATATATTTTATTGATTTTTTACAGAGAGGAAGGGAGAGAGATAGAGAGTTAGAAATATCGATGAGAGAGAAACATCGATCAGCTGCCTCCTGCACATCTCCTACTGGGGATATGCCCGCAACCCAGGTACATGCCCTTGACCGGAATCGAACCTGGGACCTTTCAGTCCGCAGGCCGACGCTCTATCCACTGAGCCAAACTGGTTTCGGCTCAAAAACATATTTTTAAAAAACTTAAAAAAAAAAAAAAAGAACAACTTTCCAACTCCAATGCCAAACTTCAGTAATGGATTATGGTAAGACGGGACTTCCTAATCCTTTTTATTATAGAGCTTTAGGCAGCTACTTCCAGTTGGAATTGGCACTCCTTGAAATTTCTTTGCCATCTCTATATGGAGTAGCACTTTACTTGTGGCCCTTAAGTGAGTAGATTAGTGAAAATAGCCTTAATGTAAAAATTACACTTGAAAAATCCCTTAAATCACCCACAGGCACATGTTTTGGGGTATAGATCCCTGAACTGTAATTCTTTACCCCACTAAAGTTTAATAAATTTAAGAAACAAGATCTAAGTTAATATCCAAATATCCAACCATACTGTCTTTTAAAACAAACAGATATACCTACATTTTATAATTTAGCCTTACAGTAGTAAATGAGATGAATAGGTCTCATCTTCAAACAGGAGTTGTAAATCAAAAGTCAAAGTGTATGTATGTGTTATGTGATTCCAATGCATTTCCAAACATTGCTATATCAAATCTCAGATTTCATATTAAACACTGTATCTAGGTGCTAGTTTCCCATAAGCCAGTCTAATTTTTCCATCATTCCTTCACATTTACTGAGTATTCTATAAAGCTCTGAGCTAGGGAGATGTATGTTTTACACAAAACTAAGATAGAATCTCTGCTTTTAAGAACTCTAGACTTAATTCTTGTCAACGTAAACTTTCCAAGTTCTATTTATTTCCATATCTTAAATTAAGTAACCAGATTTCCTCCCATGGAACTCTTTTTATGATTATTTGGCTTAAGTCTTGCTCCAAGTTCATTTCAGCAATTATGACATACCTTTCTTCTGGGGGAAAAGTAGGGAGTATGCATCTAATCATGTTAAAGATAACCAGAAGGCTGACTTGGAGCTGACAAAACAGGCAGCCCACAACCAGCCAGGCAGCCATCACTATCTGTGAGTCTCAGTAGGTCTTATCTCTGTCTACAATGAAGAGTTAGCATGGCCAATTTCCAGACACGATTTTCTCTTCTCTTGTTGGTATGATCTGACCTGCTAAGGCCAAATTCAATAAAAAATGTAGGCATTAGCTAAGAAATAAAAAGGAACTAATGGCAATAGCTTTTTACTTGCTGAATGTTCACTGTGGTCTCAATTGCTACAATAAAATTCAAGAACCATACAGTTTATGAGCACATTTCCTCATACAAGGTAGGTCTTCTTGTTCAATTTCAGAAGCTCATCCATTTTTAACCTACTTAGTCTACAAGTAACTTATCGAGTCTCATTTATCTTTGTACACTTAAAAAAAAGTCCTCACCTGAGGATGTGCTTTTAGTGAATTTTAGAGAGAGGATAGGAGAGAGAGAAAGAGAGAGAAACATCGATCGGTTGACTTTGGTACACTCTCCTAACAGGGAATTCTACCTGCAACCTAGGTATGTGCCCTGACAAGAATCAAACCCACAACCTTTTTGGTGCATTTGCTCCAACCTACTGAGCCACCTGGGTAGGGCTTATTTATCTTTGGATCCCTAGCACCTAGCACTATGCTAGACCTACAGAAGACACTCAATAAACTCTGAACGAATAGCTGTGAAACCGACATATCAGTTCTGCATATTCTTACGTAAAAATAGGGACCAAAGGTAAAACTATAGAGACAGCAAAAAGATCAGTGGTTGCTGGGGTTGGAAATGGGGGGGATAAATGGATGGAGCATAGGGGATTTGTAGGGCAGCGAAAATACTCTGTAATACCATAATGATGGATCCATTATTCATTTGTCCAAAGCCACAGAATGTACAACAACAAAGAGTGAATCATAAGCTATGGATTGGGGTGATTATGGTGTCTCAATGTAGGATCCTCAATTATAACAAACTAGAGGCCCGGTGCACAAAAATTTGTGTACTCGGGAGGGAGGGGGGTCCCTCAGCCCGGCCTGTGCCCTCTCGCAATCTGGGACCCCTAGGGAGATAACGACCTGCTGGCTTAGGCCTGCTCCCGGGTGGCAGAGGGCAGGCCCAATCCCTAGGTGCAGCCCCTGGTCGGGCTCAGAGCAGGGCCGATTGGGGAGTTGGGGTGCCGCCACCTGTCATGCACAGAGCAGGGCGATTGGGAGGTTGTGATGCCACCCTCAGTCACGCTCAGGGTAGGGCCGATTGGGGGGTTGGGGCGCCGCCACTCACACTCAGGGCAGGGCCGATGGGGAGGTTATGGCTCTACCCCGTCACACACAGAGCAGGGCTGATCAGGGGGTTGAGGCGCCGCACCCTGTCACACACAGAGCTGCAGGGCGATCAGGGGTTGGGGAGCTCCCCCCATCAGGCACAGAGCAGGGCTGATCAGGGGGTTGGGGCGCCTTCCCCTGTCACGAACAGAGCAGGGCGAATAGGGAGGTTGTGGCCCCACCCCCTGTCACACATAGAGCCGCAGGGCGATCAGGGGGTTTGGGCGCTGCCCCGTCACGCTGATCCCGGTGCTGGGAGGCCTCTCGGCTCCGCTGATCCCGGTGCTGGGAGGCATATTACAGTTTTACTATATAGGATAGGGGCCTGGTGCATGGGTGGGGCTGGCTGGTTTTCCCTGAAGGGTGTCCTGGATCAGGGTGGGGGTCCCCACTGGGGTGCCTGGCCAGCCTGGGTGAGGGGATGATGGCTGTTTGCAGCTGGTCACACACCCATCAGGGTGGGGGTCCCCACTGGGGTGCCTGGCCAGTCTGGGTGAGGGGCTGGGGGCTGTTTTCAGGCCGACTGAAGCTCCCAACTGCTCCTTTTTTTCTTTTTTTTCTTTTTTATTCTGGGCCAGCTTTAGCTCTGGCTCCAGCTCTGAGGCTTCTGCTGCTGAAAGAAGGTATCTGGTTTGTTTTGGTTCTATAATCGAAACACTGTATAACTCCAGCTCTGAGATCCCAGGGGCTTGCTGAAAGCAGGTTTCTGGGGTTTTGTTTAGCTTTCTATATTTGTTACAATGTTTCTTAAACTGCAGGCTCAGAGGCCGGCAAAGCAGGCGGGGAACGTTGGTTTCCTCCGTCACTGAAGCAAGCAAGCCTCATGTTAGTTTCAAGCTGCCTTGCTGCCGGCCGCCATGTTGGCTGGCAGTTAATTTGCATATCCTGCTGATTAGCCAATGGGAAGGGTAGCAGTTGTACGCCAATTACCATGTTTCTCTTTTATTAGATAGGATGGTGGGGGATAGTGATAATGGGGGAGGCTATGTATGTGTTGGGGCAGGGGTATATGGCAAGTCTCTGTATCATCCCCTCAATTTTGCTGTGAACCCTTAAACTGCTCTAAAAAAAACCACACAAATTTTTTTTAAAGGAACTAATAACTGCATTTGGTTTTAAACAGGAGGAAAGGCTTACACATTTGTTTCTGAAAGCCTTACCACTGAAACAGTTGATCTTTCATGGTAGGTAGGAGGATGAAACAGTGGGAGAACAGCAGTTTTAATTCTTATTAGACTGAACTTGGTTAGAATCAACAGGAAGCAACTCTAGAGAGTAAAGTAACTCACTGACACCTCTTTGACTGGAAACAGTAAAGATCAAACAGTGATGCTTACCCTCGGTTCTGTAAATCCTCTAAGTTAGAGGCATTCCATTCGGAGCCCTGTGGAACCAAAATGAGAGGGTTAGGGAGCATTAGCAAGTGAACCAAATATAGTATTTAAACAGGAGTCCTGTGAGGGAAGCAGCAGTTTCTAAAATGAATGCCAATACCATCAGTGAATTTCCTCTATATGTCAGGTACTTTATGTTGTCATGTTTAATTTTCACAAATGATAAAGTTACCTTCATTTTTTATAGATAAGAAAACCAAGTCTCAGAGAATTAAAATAATTTATTTTCAAGATCACAGTGATGGAAAGGTATCTCTGATCTCTGACCATCCTCCAATCTAAGTTAAATGTCTGTTATTCTTGTTTACAGTACTCTTTTTTCAAAAGTATGTATTGCAATTTTTATTTATGTATGTATTTATGTGTTTATTGACTACCTCTCTTCCACTGTAATGTAAGCTTCTCTTGTTCCATATGGAAACTCCGGTATATTCCCTGACACCTGGCAGGTATTCAATAAACATTGTTGAATGAACAAAATGGCATTACTATGAATTAAACCTAGATTTCAGTCTAAAGCCCACACTCTTTCTAGTGCATTATGTTTCATGCAGGGAGTTGGGCTGGGGTAGGGCGAGAGAGGAGTGAAATAGTAGCTTCTGTAAAAAAAAAAATTGAGGGAAACAGGATACACAAAATTTAAGGAGGTTCTATAGATTATCTGGAAGATACATCTATTTTTAATATTTTGACACATTTACTTTCTCTCTTCTCTTCCCTTTCATTCAATATATGTCCTACTTTCCCCCCTGAACCATTTAAAAGTAATTTGAGCATCATGTTACTTCACTTCAATACTTGACCATGTATCATTTAAGAACAAAAATATTCTCTTACATACTTTCATTTTTACAACCAAGAAAGATAACATCAATACATATCTAAATTTCAATAATTGTCTTTAAAAATATACTTTAGCCTGGTGGGGTGTGGCTCAGAGGTTGAGTATAGACCTATGAACCAGGAGGTCATGCTTCAATTCTCAGTCAGGGCACATGCCCGGGTTATGGGCTTGATCCCCAATAGGGGGTGTGCAGGAGGCAGCTGATCAATGATTCTCATCATTGATGTTTCTAACTCTCTTTCTCTCTCCTTTCCTCTCTGAAATCAATAAAAACATATATTTCTAAAACAAAACAATATACTTTATATTCACTCAATCAAGAATCATACCTTACATTGAGTTGCCATGTCTCTATCTCCTTTAATTTAGAATAGTCCACCCTTATCTTTATTTTGTCTTTCATGACATTAACATTTTAATAGACTACAGGTCTGTAATCTTGGGAGAATTGCCCACAATCTGGATTTTTCTGATTGTTTCCTGATAACTAGATTCAGGTCAAGTATTCTTGGCAAGAATATTACAAGGGTGATGTTTTGTACTTCCTACTGCATCAAATCATGAGGCACATACTGTCACTTTGTCCCACTGTTTATCATGCTGACTTTGAATTCTTGGTAGTACCTTTGTGTCTGCTACATCCTTCTATTGTAGAGTTTGCTTTACAAGTAGTCATCTTTAGGTGTAAACAATCTTTGAGGCCATGTGAATATTCTGTTTCATAATAATCCTGTTATGCTTTAAAGTTATTTGAGTTAAATGGAATTTAGCATTAGGAGACTTGGGTTCAAGTCTGAAATCCCCCTCCTACAGTGGGGCATTAGACAAGGCTACTTAACCTGTCCTCATTTTCCTTATCTATAAAATGGAACTCTCCACCCGCTCACATAGTTCTGTACAACTAGTGAGTACCTTCCTCCTTAAATTACAAATATAAAGTTTCCCCAATTCCTTCTGCCATGTGAGAATACAAAGAGAAGTCTGAAACGCAGAAGAGGGCCCTCACTCAACCTGCAGGCACCCTGATGCCAGACTCTCAGCTCTAGAACTGTGAGAAATACATTTCTGCCTTTTATAAGCCAACAAACAAACAGGTTCTCGCATATTAAAATGGGAAAAGCTTCTCTTCATTCTGAATCTTCCTCTACACACTGTCCTTTCCCCCTTCCCTTCATAGCCAAGTTTCACAGAAACATAATCTAACACTTCCTCTAATTCCTCATTTCTCATGAATCTCAACCCACAGCATTATGGCTTCTGCCCTCATCATTCTTGCTAAGAATGTTACTAATGAGTTTTCTAATTGTCTAACCCAAGGGTCACTTTTGTATCCTTATCCCTTTGGTCTTCTGTGACTATCTATCTGATATGGATCATCACTCCATCCTTATGGAATTAGATCACACTCCACAAATATCTACCCTCATGCCTGGCACAATAAAGAGGATCAACCAGTTTGTTGAGTGATTAAATGAAACAAGTAAATAAAGCACTGTGAAAATTGTTAAGTGTTATTGCAAGCACTATCACAATATTACAAGTGAAGTGTAATTTAGCCATTTAAATGGAAGATCTCAAGGATACTGTTCCCAGGTTCCAATAAGTAAAGAACTGATCTTCCTCCTCCTCCTCTCCCTCCTCCTCCTCCAGACTAGAGCTCAGCTGACTTGCTTTCCAAAAATATGGAAGGTTCTGAAGGCTTTAGGCTCAACCTTAGAAAACCAGTTCTCACACCAAAGAAAGAGGCAAGACTACAAAGGACTTCAAGGAGACAGAAGTCAAGTAATAAAGGCTTGAGTGGCTAATATGGAACCAGGGATATGTGATCCCCTAACTCCTAATTTAGAAATCTAAATCCTCTGAGAGGAACTCTGAGCAGCTAGATGGAAATAACCCTGACATGATGGGGAAAGTCCATAGTTTTTTATCTACCTGTTTAGAGAAAATTCAACCTGACAATCTGAAATGACACATATCCAGAAACAAAATAAACTAAAAGCCCTAGCTACTGTCTCAGTGAAGCCTGTGCAATGTGCCTTGGGCTGTGGTTATGGCTGCTTCAAGTTCAACCTGAAAGAAAGAACTGGAGTCAATGTGGTGTAATTACTTTTCTGCCCTCAATGCAAATGCCATTTATACTGGCCTCCTGGGGGTCTTCCACAGATTCAACCTCTTTTTCTCTCTGCTTCTCAGGCTTACAATGTCTTAATTCCATGTGGGTTTTCACTATGTTCTATGTAATTATGCAAAGCATTTTTTAATATTCCTGAAATGTAAAATGAAATCTTGGGACTGTAATACATTTTTAACTTAGTTCATTTCCATCTTTTTACTTTTTACTCTTAATACATTTTTAACTAAGTTCATTTCCATCTTTTTCCATGTAGGTTCCCCTACACTGTACTCTCGCCCAAAGACCCAAGTGACTGATTTTTTTTTCCAATTGTTATCCTCAGGAAATAGCCCTGTTGGGGTCCAAATGTTCCAAGCAAAATAGAAGAGAAGAGCATATTTATGGCAAATAAGAAAGAGTGTATTGGGGTTCTCCTCAAATCAATACAACTTGGCACAATCAAGGACTGGTATCCCAGGCTATATCATTTTCATCACACCTACAGCCTCAACACTTAAATTACATTACTGTGGCAACCAGGCCCAAGATCTCTTTTAACTTTATCCTATACATCTCTAGTGGAGGGATGAAAATCATGAATATAAATAAAAATAGTCAATTTAATTATTGTCAGACTTATTCACATATCCACCATTTCTCTGCACCTACTGTAAAAAAGTAACCACCAATTTGAGGCTTAATTTTTCTTTCAAAAATAAACACTATTCTACAAGGATATGTTATGTCAAATTTTGAAAAATATACCAGCGGTAAAATTCTGACTACTTTTTTTTCATGAACAACATTATTGGTTGTGTGTCCAATACTCCTGTGTTTCCCTTGTTTAACTAAGAAAGCCGCCTGCCTTTCTGCAAAGGGGCTCTGTTCACATCTTGCTTTTTCTCAGCCAAATCGGCCAGCCTCCAGGAGAGATTTGGTTGGGCAAATGCTTCCAGCTCAGAGAAACAGTACACTCTTAAGGGTGTGGAAGAACTTTTTCTGGAAATAGTCTGGCTTCCAGCCAGATGAATCCTCTCTCCTTGCTGCAGATTTTCTTTAAACTATGCTCTACACCAGTGGTTCTCAACCTTCCTAATGCCGCGACCCTTTAATACAGTTCCTCATGTTTCGGTGACCCCCAAATTCATTGTTACAAATGGAACATAGTTAAAGCATAGTGATTAATCACAAAACAATATGTAATTATATATGTGTTTTCCGATGGTCTTAGGTGACCCCTGTGAAAGGGTCATTCGACCCCCAAAGGGGTCGCGACCCACAGGTTGAGAACCACTGCTACACGTTTCTTCTTCAGATCAGCTAGACACCTTTTCAAATAAATGTCTCTGTGTAGCGCACTGAGAGCTGAACATTCTTCCAAGGGAGGGGAGAAATCCTGCCGTCTCCCTTCACACAATCTACTTGCACTCCGGGCACGGCAGCTGTGCACACGATAAAATGATTTTGCAGAAAATTACCACCACCATTTGCAACTTGGATAAGACATCCTTTTCTGTGTTAATTGCTGGGGAAGCCAGCAGAGCACAGACTCACTGGAGAAGATATAGGGGGTTGGGCACAGGACATGGTGGTGCAAACAAAGGGAGAAAGCCATCAGGGAAAAAGTACAATAAGATGTTTAGATAATCTGTTCATCTACTTATTTTGTTGGATAAGAGTTAAATTTCAGGATTCTCTACTTTGATTTTTTTCTCAAATAAGAAAGATATTCACAATAGAAAGAACATGTCCATTCTCTTAAAAACAGAATTGTACCTGAAGCAGAATAGAGTTTCCTTTTTCCAAAAATATGGACATTGATACATATTAAAAATGGATTGTTCTTTCTATTTAGTACTATTAAAATTTGTTTATATGTCCTAAAATATACCATTTGAAGAGGGGGGTAAGAAGGAGGTAGTTCTTGAAGGGGTGGCATCAGAGACTGGGGAAGTATGACTAAAATTAAATAGATTGGCCAGTCAGATATGGACTGTATTCGATACTCATGTCTATATCCTTTTAGGTATAAAATCTAAGCTCAATGGAGAATTTAAGTTTATAGTGCTGGTCACTTTCAAACATGAGCTATTGTGGCTATGGGCACCTGCCCTTCATAAAAATGTGATGACACATGGAGACAGTTGGGGGCAGGGTCTATTTGAATGAGTGACTCATAAGTTTTCTATAGATAACACAAATATTCTTTCCAGCAATACAAGAGCAGGGAATACCTGAATCCTCATGGAAGTATACACAAAAAACAACAAAGACAGATACTTTACAAATGGAAAGGTCAATGACAGCTTTGCTGTATCACCTACATCCAGAAATAGCAATGGTCAAGTTAAAGTATGGAAAAGAAGCTCCCTTCCTAGCTCACAACTTTTCATGAGTAATTTCATAGCTATACACCACTATGAATCACTCCATAGTACTCATACTCTAGAGCAAGCATGTCAAACTCAAAGGCTAACACCAGCCAAATAAACGAGGCATGCTGCGAGCTTGACATGCTTACTCTGGAGTGTCAACAAGTTAATTCAGGGCACAAGCCTTCCATGACACAAAGTCTGACTGCTTGGTGAAATAAACTCTTGAATATTCGGGGTGAGATGATCCCGTTTAGTCAGTTCCTGTGCATTTATTCTTCTCTCCTGCTTCCCAGCTTCTAATTATTTCACAGTTCACAAATGTCCTCAACAGAGAAAGAAATGAAATTCAAACCAATTGAATTTAGTTCCTTGTTAGCATTTTTGGTCAAAGTGTATGGAAAATGGAAACAAAAACAAGGTTTTGCCCTGGCTGGTGGCTCAGTTGGTTGGAGTGTTGTCCTGTACACCAAAAAGGTTTCAGGCTTGATTCCCAGTCAGGGCACATATCTAGATTGTAGGTTTGATCCGTAGGCGGGACATGTAAGGGAGGCAACTGAACGATGTTGTTTCTCTCTTTCATTGATGTTTCTCTTTCTCTCTCTCCCCCTTCCTCTCTCTTTAAATATCAATAAACATATCCTAGGGTGATCATCAAAACAACAACAAAACCCATAGAGGTTTTGGCATGTCCCAGGCCCCCTGCCCCCCCGCCCCCAATTTTAATTGTCCTAGTTAACCTTGTTCCCATTACTACATACAGATAAAAACTAGAGCCTTTAACATTTAGAATTTTAGAAGCTTTCCCAATTTATCTATCAGTGAGGTCCTCTTGGGCTAATTACAGGTTACTGAATGTTCAAGAACTATGAAGAACAATTTTAAATCACTAAATTTTTAGTAATCACAAAAGTATTTGGAACTCAAAATGTAGCTACAAGGTTAAAAATGCTTAAAAATCCAATAGTCTCTCAGTCGTAAGTAGTTCCCACTTGCCCTGCTCAGATATCCAACCTTAAGACACATTTGACAGACTTAAAAGAGTGACCTTAAAGGATCATCCTAGTTGGGTACACTGTAGAACGCTATTACAAACTGGTCTGTTTTTTACTTTGACTATTATGAAAAGACCAGATGAGCTATTTAATAACCCATGCGGGGAGGGGAAGAGTCCTGATTTGTAGCATTTGCCAGTTTCCTTGGTGTAAATTTTCCCACCATACTCAATCTTATGAAATCACTGAATGAGAAATTGGGAATAGATGGGCATAAGCTCACCATTATATAACATCTCCACCACACAATAGACATAAATAAACATAAGAGCACAGATAATAGTAAAAAAATTAGAAACTGATGAGGTGTATTTATTACCTTTGTTTTTAATGTTGTTACATTTTATTTAAATATAGTAAAATTTAACAGTTGCCCCTTCCCCATGGGTTGGGATGGACTATCTTTGGCACACCACTTAAACGGGCCCCAAAACTTACCAAGAACACGTGCTCAAATATCTGTGTAGGACTGTCCATCTGACCAAGAATCACTATCATTTCATTATCTATAAATTCCTTGAATTCTCTCAGGTTGCAAACCATTTGCATTTCCAATTCAGTTCGTATCTGAAACAAAGATGACATATTATACTAATTTCTGTAAAGTCCCTCTGAACTTTCACTCATTCACTCACCATTTTTAGCCCCATACCTATCCCATTCCTAGCCTTGACACAATGAGGACTTAAGGTCTCTTACCTCTTTGGATGTGATATTCTCCAAATCCTTCTGCATCATAATCTCCCTTAATTTGGTTTTAATTAGTCTTTCTGTTCGCTCACGTTCAGTTGGTCTGAGAAGAGAGAAACAAATTTTTCTTAGGCAGGAATTTAATTAAGTTAATGAATGTGCTATTTGATTATGGTTCCAAATTGATAGGTTTCTATTACCTTTAAATTTATATTAGGGAGAAATGGCCAAAAGAGAACAATATTTTTAAAAATTTCTTTTCAGAATGTAAACGTAGAAATTATTACTCGAAGAGGTTGTACATGTCTAAAAGCCCTTAAATATATTCACATATATAGATCCATGAAGGAATAAAGGCAAATAAGCTACACTGAGTGTAAACTTTAATGGAGGACCATAATCCACATTTTCTCATCAAGTACCCCTGAGTACCACTTACTGAGCTGGGTAGGCCAGTGATGTGACCCACTATGGAACTGGGTCTTCTGTTGCATAAAATGCCACCTAATGTTTGTCATTCATTCATTGCTATGGTTTTAGAAAACAGGAAAGAGGCGAGAGTGATTTCTGCCTTCTTTAATGAGGCAAATTTGCTTCCAAAATGGGTTTCAAGGATTAACTACCTGGAATATTTCCACTCAAAATTCTTTCCTTTTCACAAAAGCTCTCACAATATCACTGTGAAATGGTTATCCCCATTTTACAGATAAAGGAAATAAAAAGCTGAAGGGTTAAATGACATGCCAATGATCACATATACTGGCAAGAGAACCAGAACTGTCAGCCCAGCTTAACACTCTACCTGCAGGATTATGTTGCTTCCCTTAGTCTTCTGATTCTTTTAAAAATAAAATTACCCTTGGAACTTTAATATGAAATCAAATTAGGAAGCTGATTCTCAAATTACCAGACAGATATTGGTTCAATGTAACTGGATGCTTCTCTCAAAATGCATTATTTCATATTATGCAGAATTTGAGTGAGGCTGACAGAGAGGACTTTCTGTCTCCTCTTTCCCTTCCTACCTACCCAAGAAAGGTATCTGCTCTGTGCCTCCTTATTTGGAGATGGAAATGGACTAAGCCTTTAGGCATCCTGCCTACCCTTGCTGCCTACAGTCTTATCACTGGCTGCAAAAATAGCTTTAGTAATCTCCAAAGATGGATGTTCTGACCCCACAACCTTGGGGCTCCCTACCACTTGGGCTTTTAGTTTTTCATGAACCCTGCAGAATATAGCTAATAATTATACCCTGTCAGTCAGCCCCTCAGCCTTCCTGAATTGACTAGGACTAAAATTCTTCATCATGTTCCCCACCATTTTCCCTAGACAATGATAATGGTGGAGAGTTACACACTTCAGTCTTCTATTAAAGAGAAATATTGGTAAAAAACAAAGTTTAGCATCTTTGTGCATGGTTTAGATTCCCTAGTTTAGCAATCTTTATCTAACTCCTTCACACTTGCTTGAGGCAGAGTGGTTTGGGAGCAGACACATGTAGGTTTTAATTTTAGTCCTGCTGCTTAGTAGTGGTGTGAACTTGAACAAGTTCCTTCCTTTCTCTGAGCCTCTTTCCTTTTATATAAAATAAGGAAAGTAACAATATCTGCCTCATGAGGTTTTATGAGGATTAAATGAGACACCTTAATGAAGTGCCTGGCATAGCACTTGACCTAAACTGGAGGCACCATTCAGGTATGTTCCCTTCTTCCCCTTCCTTGGATTTTAAAATATAAACTTTATTCACAGAGCATTTAAGTTAATTTGGCACACATTCTCCCTGTGTTTTCAGCAAATTTAAAAAAATTTTTTCTGGTCAACTTAGGGAGGAAATGGAAAAAGCATTACAAGACAAATACACTTTCTCAATTTCACTGGAGAAAAATTCAGAAAATACATACAAACACAAGAAAATAAAAACCACTGAAAATCCTTCTATCAGAGACAATCGTTATTAAAATACGGTGACTGATAGCTTTCAATCTTTTTCTATGAACAGATAAACATTTGTTTATTAAATTATCTTAAAACTGGGGCTATATTGTACATACTAAGAACTAATATTTAATGAGCTTCTACCAGGTGCCAAGAAGTACATTTCACATTATTTTTTTTTTGTTTGGGAATGTAGAGAAATTATGGGCAATTTCATTTTCCTCTTTTGTATTTTAATTTCCAAATTTCCTCTAATAAAATCATGAAAATAAGAAGGGTTTTCTCTCTTTCATTTAAGTCTGGTTCAGAATGTCCATTTTTGAGTCAGATGCAACATTCATTCCTCTGATACCCATGAACCAGCTGTAAAGCCAGAAATTAGTAACATTTCCCAAGATTCTGGAAGCCAAACTAACCCTTACCTTTTTTGTTACTGTGGGATCTTGAAAGGATTAAGGCTAATGAAAAAGAGGTCCTAGTACCAATAACATCCTTTCCATTGTTTTTCTGACTGTTCTGTTCACACAATTCTTGGAAATTTCACCTTTTCCAGTAAAAATCATCCTGTATAATAAGAGCCTAATATGCAAATTGTCCCCTCGACCAGGAGTTTGACTAGGGGGCGGGGCCAGCTGGCCAATTCAGGAAGGGAGGTCCTGGTTGGCAGCCCGCAGCCCCTAGGGACCCTACCCAAGGAAGAAATTCGTGCATTGGGTCTCTAGTTTATTATATTATCTGAATTAAGCCTTTTTTAAAAAAAATCATGAACTATTTTGGTATTACTTTAGGAATCTGTAGACGAAGGTTTAGAAGGTCAGGTAGTAAGTAGCTACTCTTCTTTCCCAGCTATAGAATACCTTGGAAATGCAGAAAGATCAACTCAGAGCAAAATAAACATCCTGATTAATTTCCAAAGCAGGAACTAAGTGTGAAAAAAATTTCTAAAGTAGTCACATAAGTTTCAACACACAGACCTAAGAGGAAATAAACATCAGCTCCACCTTAGGCCTTTATTTAACTCACAGTACACCAGGAAGATTTAATAAAATCTCACTGAGACAGACTTAACAAGACAAAGGTCTTAACACAAATTATAAAATATTGAAAAAAAATCTGCACACATATCAGGTTAGAATTAACATGAAACCTAAGTATTAGTTTTAATTGACTAGAAACATCTTTACTTGACTTTTTAAAAAAATCCTCACCCAAGGACATGCTTTGAGAGAGGAAGGGAGTGAGAGAGACACAGAAACATCAGTGTGAGAGAGAAACATGGATTGGTTGCCTTCCGTATGTGCCCCAGCCAGGGATTGAATTCGCAACCTTTCAGTGCATAGGACTACACTCAACCAACTGAGTCACTCCAGTGGGAACAGAAACATCTTAAGTATTGGAAACATCCTTTTAAAAGCTTCTCTTTGTCATTAATTTATTTATCAAACATTTCTTTCACAGACAATGCAAAGGCAGACTTTAGCTTAACTCCTTTAAATTCGAATTTCACATTAGTGGAATCTGAATTAATGGGATTTTATGATATTTCAGTTCTTTTCTATGGAGACTATATTGTGCCCAGGAGTGAAACTCCTCAGGCCTTTGCAGACAACAGAAAGAACAGGGTTCTTTATTAGCAGTTGTGTAGTGTAGATAATGACTAATATTGCTGGGTAAGACTAATTCCCCAAGAAGAGAGATTAGGGAGGAACAGTTGCTTGTGGCATCCTAGAGCACAACAGAGAGGACTTCCATGATCCTTAGCGAACTGACTTACATGTCAGTGAAGAGAGCTGGAGAGTCAGGCCGGTGGGACTGTACATCTTGCATGGCATTCCATTCGTTGACTGACGATTGATCTGAGTTGATGTGGCTCTCATAATAACTCACCCAGGTGAGAAACAGGCTGCCCGGGTAGTAGTTATGCATTCTGGCCACTTCACAAGCCTTGTGTAAACTCTGTAGTGCAGACCTGAAAGATATGCAGGGAAAGGAGCACTGTAGAATTATGGAGGTATCAAAAGGCCAATAATCTATGTGTAGTTCAATCTCTTCCAATTTTTAAATCCTAAGAATCTGGACTCTGGAGAATTTACTCCCTGGAATTCAAGATTCTCTGATTCTGATTATAGTAATTATCTGATCACAACACTTGACTAGACAGTTCATGCTGAAAGATATAGAGCAATATTAAGGTGGGGGTAAAGGGAAACAGGAGAACTGACAACTCAACAGTAAAAAACAGGTCCAGGTACCTATGAAACTCATGACCCCATAGTTGCAGTCATGCTGTGGCTATGCTGTGTCACCAGAGAACTAAAGATGGCAACCATTTGCTATAGAAAGATATGTTTTCCTTGGCACAGAATCATGTGACAGCATACATTCTCTATTATTCTTGGAAGCACCACAAAGATCACAGATAAATGTCCCTAAACTTTTAGGATATGTTCTTGAATGTCCAGGCAGCACTGATCTAATGACGTTTAAAATTCTTTCTGCCTTAGTCTCCAAATTTCTTTAAACCATTTATTCATACACTTGAGCTACTTTCTAAGAACAGCTCTGGCTATTCTTAGACTAATGAAATCTCTGACTCTGAACTCAGGAACCCAAGAAGAGTAAACAAAACTGAAAAGTACCTTTTTGGTTATACGCTTAGGAAAACTAAAGCCAGATATTCTAGAAAGTTAGTTACACAACAGCAGGGACCTTTTTATGCTTTGTTTACTGATGTATCTCAAGTGATTAAAAGAATGCCTAGTTCGTAGATGAAGCACAGTTAGTGTTTGTTGAATGAAATGTGTCTTATTAAGCTATAAACCAATGTCTTTCCTAAGAGAAAAGAACAGTATGAGAGAATTTTGTGGCCAATCCATTTCCATCTTTAAAAAACAAACAAAGTGATTTTAGAAGGGAAAGGTTGGGTGGAGGGACGGAGTGGGAGAGGGAGAGGGATGAGAGAGAGAGGGAAACACTTATTTATTGTTCCACTTATTTATGCATTAATTGGTTGCTTCTTGTATGTGCCCTGACTGGAGATGGGACTCACAACCTTGGCTTATTGGGATGACGATGCTCTAACCAACTAAGCTACCCGGCCAGGGGTATATCTTTTTCTTAAAAATGCCTTTTAATTAGTTTTTTCCTCATAATAAAAGTGATCCATGCTCATTTTGGAAAATTTAGGAACCTCAGGTGAAAGGTAGAAATATCTTGTAAAAGGTGGAAATGTATAGCTAATAAAGCATTTCATTTAACAAATACTAACTGTGCTCCAATTATGAACTAGGCATTCTTTTAGGCACTGTAATCTAATGGCCCAAAAATAACGATTGGTAAGGTTTCAGTAGAGATTTTTTTTTTTTATTGCTTAAAGTATTACAAAGGGTATTACATATGTGTCCTTTTTTTCCCCCCGCCCTTGACAGTCCCCTAGCCTCCCCTATCCCCCAGTGTCTTATGCCCATTGGTTATGCTTATATGCATGCATACATCAGTAGAGATTTTTCCAGTCTTTTTGTCTATGCATAGATCTACAATAAATATATGACCATATTCTGCATACTATTTCAACCTGTTCTTTTATTTTATACTTCATCATCAACATCTTTCTATGTCAATAAATATTCTTCAGTTAGATACTTTTCAATGGTTTCATACTTAGCAACATGGACATATCATAATTTAACTGATTCTTATTTTTCAGATATTTAAATTGTTTTCTATTTTTTCCTATTAGAACACTGACAAACATTCTTATAGTTGAAATTTTTGTACACGCCCATGATGATGACCTTAGGATACATTCTTAGAAATAGAATTACTAGGTCAAAGGGCATGCAAAATGATAAGGCATATTTGCAAATCATTCTCCAGAAAGGCTGTTCCAGTTTATTCTCCCATCAGTAACATATAACAATATCTGTTCCATGAGTCCTTGTCAACCCTGTATAATGTTAATTTAAAAATAATACCATTACCAATTTGATAAGAAAAAAAGCACATACCAGTATATTTTTATCAGGAAAACAGACTTTTCCTTAAAAACAAGGTTGTGGACTCTTTAAAAAATGCTTTTCTATTATTTAAAGTAAGCAAATTCTCAGAGAATTAAGTCAAACTCAGAGAATTCTCAGTGATTTTCAGTTTCATTATGCAGATTCAAAGGAAAAGCCAGCTTAGTGTAAAGCACAGGACATTCAATGCATGTTTTCTTCATCCGGAAAATACATGCTTCAAAAGCATATGCCACAAGCGCCTGGCACAAGTGCCCTAACATACACTCAAGCTTAGCCACCTCAGATACTGCAGCTGCCTACAGTAGTGGGAGGCTGCACTATCTTCCTGTATAGGAAACACCTGGTCTAAATGCTGCTTTGAAACACACATCTTTTTTTTTTTTTTTCCTGTGACTTTCAGTTTACTTCTCCCTATGTGGTACACCAAAAAAGTTTATTCTGTAGGAAGCTAACAGAGCTAGGACTAGTCAGTCTGCTTTAGAACATCAAGACTTGAAATAAGGTTACTGCTGAAACTTCACTGTTTAAAAAATTAACAATGCTTTGTACTTCTCCCCAAAATATAACTGTCACTTATGAACTTATGCTGTTTTGTTTTACTTGGTACCTGGGAATACATAGGTGAGTTGCCTTTAACTGAGCCTGAGTCAAAGGCAGTCATAAGTTTTCCATGAGAAATTTATTTGTGAAATATGCCCTAAATCTAAAAATCTGGTCTCAACACATGACCTGAAACTCTGTCCTGCTTCAATTACTCCATGAAACGATAAGACTGTTAATTGTTCAGCTGACTGTTTTAGGACCCCACCCACCTCAAGCCTATCAATCATGTTATTCAGGAGTAAATGATCTCCCTGGAGTCTTTTACAGGCTCCTTTATTTCTTGTTTGGCTTTCATCCTGTCCATTCTGTTCCTCACGAGGACTTCTACTACAAAACAGGCAACTGAATGAGGACCTAAAATTCAAATTCCTGACTGGGGGACAGACATCATTCCTTAGATATATTTGATCGTTTTTTTTTTTTTTGTTTTGTTTTTTGGATAATCTAGAAAAAAAAAGAGAGTAAGAGTTTATTCTGTTTAAATATAAGAGATACTTGAAGACCAGTTATGCAACCCCTCTAAAACCTGTTTTCTCATCTATAACAAGGAGCTAATACTACTCTTTTGGGAAGCTTATGTAATGATTATATGTAATTCATGTAAAGCACTAGGCACAATGCCTGACAAACAGTAAGTAAGCTAAAAGTGTCAATATACCAGCTGATGGTTGTTATCAGCTACAATTTTTTTCTAGGCTTTATTTGCATTATGCAAATAGTTTGACAAACAATTACCAGCAATTTAAATGAAGCTTTTCTATCTATAAGGTAACTCCATCAATGCTATCCCTGATTACCTTAAGAAACTGAAAGCTAATGCACGGTAGTAGTGTGATATTTAGACCTGGCACTAGACTGCCACTAACTTAGTCAATAAAATTCAGTTCTAACTGACTATCTGATTCATTAAGTATTTTTCAGAGTCTAAAAACACCTCTAAATATTATTTGTTCACCAATGTTCAAGGCTTTCCATTGTGATAATTTGAAAATTAAACTTCTAAGTCATCTTTAACTATGATGGCTACACAAACAGATCACACAAAATTCTATGTACACAAACAGATCAGCATTTTCAAAGAGAATTGTATCATTTCAAATACTTCTCACAAAATACTGCTTACTAACACATTAACAAACTTTCATAGAGATATTAAAATTCTTACCACATTGCCTGCACAGATACAGGTTTGAATATGTGGATTCTGTTATCTGTTGATACGCTGAACCCTCTAAGGAAAAAAGAATAAGACAAAAATCCACAAATGAGAGTGGGTTATTTCAGTTGTGCGTTTTCCAGGCTGCTTCCCAGGCTACTGGCTCAGGCACTTCATGTAGACTAGAGTATAGGACGTGACTGAAAAGCTTCAACAAATTGTCTACTTTTATGTACTTAGCAGAATGAATGGACTCCCACGTTGGAATTAGGGAATTACATAGTTTTCCTGCTGTAGCTAAGGACAAACTGTTCAGCTGTATATTTCTATTTGGAAATCTTATGGGTATGTAGCAAACCTGGCCCTGTTTTATAAACTAGAGCAAACATCTTGGTCTCTTGGGGACACATTCTAAAAACACCAGGGGTAGGGGTGGAAGGTCACTGGAAGGAACTGGCACAGAAAAGGGGTTACACTGTAGGCTGACAGCTGGCAGAGGCAGCAAGAGGCTATTTGAAACAGAACATATCATCCTCTGGGAGAACATTGCAACAGTCCCACATGCTCAGATTAAAGAGGGAGCCAACAAACTACTTCCTCTTTGTTTGGATTCTTACCATAGTCAGCCTAGAAGAACAGAAGTGAGAGGCCTTGGCAAGTTGCATTTTTACTCCACTTCACAAAACAGGAGTTTCAAAGGACTCATTGAGCTGCTGACATGACAATTCATGTCATGGGCACAGTGGGCCTCCCATTCAGCTGAATGAATGGGTAGTAAGATGGGAACCCCACCCCTTGGCTTTCTGTAGGAAGATAAAAAGGGAAAGCTCTTACCCATCACCATCCAAATGAATCAGGGTGTCACTCCAGAGAGGCAGGACTAGGCCCATGGTACAAGTGCTACTGCAAGACAAGAAGCAGGTCCATAAGTCACTCTCTGTTATTCCAGGCAGCGTTCTGTTTAGTCCTTAAATATTTAACAAAGAAAACATGACTGAGCTCCCTGAATTACTGTCTTGCAAACGGCCACTGTCTAAAAACTCCAGGTGACTGCTGTGGACTTGGGATGGCAGGTCTCAGCCCAAAGTCACAGAACCCAACTCAACTTCAAGAATTATTTCTAATGACAGAAACCACTGCTGGCTGCTGAAGACCTCTGACTATGTCATTCATTCAATTTTAATTCTGAGGTTTACATACATCTTTTGAACCCCAGAATACACTAAATAGTCTAAATGGGAAAGGGAATTAAAATATTCAAAAAAGTAACTGTTAATGGCTTGTGATGACATTAAGAGGGACAAGAGACCCAACTTAAATAAATGCAACAGTGCTTTGTGACTATGCACTGAACTAGCACTGCTGACATGCAGAGTGAATAGAAATGCCAACAACCAACAGGGTAGCCCTGGAATGGTGTATTACAATATTATTTAAATCACACAAGGAGGAAAGTTAACAGGTAGAGACAGGAAGCCAAAGACTCCCAATTGTGTGCTCTATCATACCATTTCTCTGGACAACTGTAATCTACCCCAGATCTCTGCTACCTTTTCTCCCTAAGCCTGCCATAAACCACCCCCCCCCTCCATCCAGTTTCCCAAAGGCTCCTATGCCCTCTCCCCACCAATATATCTAGAAAAGTATCAGGTGTAGGAGAAAGAATCTTGGATGTGGGAGGTAAAACAGTGAAGTATGGTTAAAAGCACAAGCTCTCGCCCTAGCCGGTTTGGCTCAGTGAATAGAGCATCAGCCTGCGGACTGAAGGGTCCCGGGTTCGATTCCGGTCAAGGGCACGTACCTTGGTCGCAGGCTCCCGGCCCTGGTCAGGGGCATGTAGGAGGCAACCAATTAATGTGTCTCTCTCATATCGGTGTTTCTCTCTGTCTCTCCCTCTCTCTCTAAAAATCAATGGAAAAATATCCTTGGGTGAAGATTTTTAAAAAAAGAGCACAAGCTCTGGAGCCATTTGGGTTCTGGAACCTGAGCTCTTGCACTAACTGTATATAAAATCGTAGGCAAACAATTTCATTGCTTTGTGCTCTGGTTTCCTCATCTGTAAAGCTGGGATAGAAATACCATCTTCACTGGGCTGTTTTGAAAATTAAATTAGGTAACACACTAAAAAATGTGCAATAACTACTATTTATTGAGCAATTATACTATGCTGAAAGATCTGGATTTACTCTCCCTCAGTACTTCAATTCCTTTTGACAACTTATTTAACCTCTCTTCTCAGCCTTAATTTCTTCATCTTGATATGCAGGTAACAAGACCCAGCCTCATAGGGTTATCATGCAAATCTAAAATATTTAAGGTGAAACATATATATTAATGCACTGAAATGTAAAACAAATGTTGAGTATGAATCTGTAGTGGGTGCTCTACTACAGCTGAAAGTGATTTTGGGGGAGGGGAATATTACGAAAATGTATTAAAAACAACACAAGGACTACCACGCTTTAACTGCTGGAGTCACTGCAGTGCTAACGAAGGCCATGCCCTAGTTGAGCTGGGTCTCATGATTTCCACGGCACTTGCTGGCCTGTGTTCTCAAGGTCCACCAGTGGTTCCAGAGTTCAAAAGATTCAAGTCAAGATTAAAACTGCTTATCTGCATTGAAACCCCAGCCCCGAACTCCAGACGCACAGTTACCCTCCCAGGGTCGGAGGGAGGAAGACAGCTCCACCACTATTTTTTAAGTTTATGAGGGCAAGGAAAATTTGTTTAGAAAATCATTTCCCAAGGTGGAGTGCAATTATTTTCAGGTTTTTTGTTTCTATTTTTGGTGAGTGCTTAGCCAGTTCCTAGCAACAACTATAATTTGACAAATCTAGAAATTAAGCAACTACAGAAGAAGATATAGAAGATGAGCTTGTGACCAGACACTAGTTAAAATTTTGGACAAATGACCATGATATGCAGAAACTAAACATCATGTTTTCAGCTTGTATTCAGGTTAGAATGCTTTTTTATAGTAAGAAAGATAGCTTTTTCATACAAAAAGAAAGAGAGGCCTGAATTAGCACATCTATATTTTTATTCAGTTTACCTTGAATCATGAGATTTTTCTCTATTATAGTTATTTTATTAGATATGCACTTATTCAATTATTTATTTATTGCTAATCCTCACACAAGTATATTTTTACATTTATTTTAAGAGAGAGTGGAAGGGAGGGGGGAAGAGAGAGAGAGAGAGAGAGAGAGAGAAAGAAACATGGATGTGAGAGAGACACATCAATTGGCTGCCTTTCACACTCACTCCAACCAGAGCTGGGGAGCTTGCAACTGAGATAAATGTCCTTAACTAGAATTGAACCCGGGACCCCTCAGTCCTCAGGCCAACACTTTATCCAGTGAGCAAAACTGGCTAGGGCCAACAATTCATTGAGCCTACCTGTACCAAACATTTCAAGGTGTTGGGAGTACAAAAAAAAAAAATAAAATAAAATAAAACAATACAATAAAGCTATCTTGTTTTAGAACCTTGAAATATATCCAATGCAATTTGGAAACCAAGATTATGCTGTGTATTAAAATATTTATTACTTAAATATACCACAGTATTCAAAGAACTTTTAGTAGGCTAAAAGAAGTGCTGTAATATATCTTGAGAACTACTTGGGAAGAGGGTGTCATAAGCAATCTGCATTTTACTTTGGTTTAATACTGTTCTGAAATATTAACTTTTTCTATTGTCAGATACAAAATGATACACATTCCTTCAACAGCAATTAGATAAACATGATATTAGATTACCTGAGCACTACTGTTCTCAAGTAGGCAGCACTTCTCTTACTGTCCAAGTAGCTAATTCAGAGGATATATGGAAATTCATAACACCAAGTTTATCAAACACAATGAAAACCAATTTTTATAGCTTTTCATATCATATTTTGTTTTCCATAAACTAAAATTTTCTTTTGCTAGGCTTGATTCAGGCAGGACTATTACTGAAGATAGATGCAGTTCACTGAGGATAAAATACTGGGCAGCTGTATTAATAAGCAGTCTGGTTTTTTTGGGAATGTTTAGGACAAAGTAAAAGAGATAACAGACATCTTATTTCTTACATTCTGAGTCAGGAGAATCTGAATTTGTTGCCTTCTCTCTCTCTAGGGCAGCGGTGCTCAACCTGTGGGTCGCGACCCCTTTGGGGGTCGCCTAAGACCATCGGAAAACGCATATATAATTACATATTGTTTTTGTGATTAATCACTATGCTTTAACTATGTTCAATTTGTAACAATGAAATTGGGGGTCACCACAACATGAGGAACTGTATTAAAGGGCCAGAAGGTTGAGAACCACTGCTCTAGGGGAAGACCCAAGTGAGGTTTCCACGTAGCCCCAGTGCCTGTTTTAGGGGGGTTCCAAAGGAGGAGTCGGGATGAAAGAAGCAAAGGAAATAAGATCCGGAGCAGCGCTGTCCAACTGAACTTTCTGCAATGATGGAAATGCTCTATACATGGTAGCCACATATAGCTAGAGGACTTGAAATGTGGCTACTTGTAACTGAGAACTGAAATTTTAATTTTATTTAATTTAGATAGTCATGTTTGGTTAGTAGCTACCATACTGGACAATACAGATCTAGAGAGATAAAAACCCAAATCATAGGTCTTAAAATACTAATGAATGTAGGCAAGGTTGGTGATCTTAGAGGATAAATGTTTACTGAAAGGTCTGTTGCTTAGCTAACACCAGAGGTTAAAACCATGCAGGAGGAACAGCTTCCTAAATGTGGCTTACAAACTTGCGTAATTTCGGAGCACACAATTAAAGGCTGTAAGTGGTGTACAAGGTAACAACTCTCACCTTTGATCTTGTGAACCCACAAATCATTTTCAGGCTGACTGCCACTACAAGCTCAGGTAAACACTAGTTTGGGAAACTTTACTGTGACAATGTAACCCCCACCCCCACATTAAAACAAGTAGAATCACTCCCAGTCTCCTCTTCTCTTTGTGGCTAAATTCTCCCAGGCCTGGGTCACACCCCTCGCTTCTCCACAGTTCCATTCCAGTCCTGAGCCAGGAAGTCAATGCTTTGAGACATCTGGCAGGATTTCCTGAGGCTTGCTATCTAGAGCGCAGAGATCTGCTTAGCAGTCACATTCCACAGCCTTCCCAAGGTCTCTCCAGAAAGAGTGGGAAAATAAAAAGAAAAGCAGCAAACCTTAGAGAGACAATAAAGCCAGGTTTTGTGTCATGTCTGATATCTCTAATCATAGGACGCAAAGTGCCACTAAAGTCAAAGGTGCATGATTATAAAAGTTTCTGTTTTGAGTTTAAGGAAAAAGGAAGCAAAACATTTGATAAAAGCAAGGTGTAAAGCCATGAATAAATACAAGAGAAGGGAGTTAAAGTGGGCTCTCTTTGAACTTAGGACTGACTGGTACAGTATCACTAAAGCAAGTCATTACTGCTTAAAGACGATTGCAAAGAAAGGACAGCTCCTCCCCTCACCCCTCCTGGAGATACAAGTTAAAATCATCTCCACCTAAAGAGGAGAGGAAGGTAAGGAATAGTGTAAATTAGAAACACATTACCAAAGACATTCATTAAACATTTTCATCTCTCAAGACTGTGTGACTAAGATATTTTTGTGTTCTCTAGGTTTAGGCATTTAACTTTAAGAGTAGCACTGCATGTTTTTGTGATAATTCAAAAGACAACTGGCATAGGTTATTTAAAAGGAGTCTTCTCATCCTCCTTTTGTGATACCATACCTGTCATTAGAAGAGAAATCCATTCCTAGAACGATGCTTTCTTCAGTGTCTTGTCTACCATTGGTTGAAACCACTACCATATAACGTGTTCGATTCTGGTAAGTACTTTCTAGTCTTACAGCCTGGAGGTTAACAGACAACAAAGAAATTATGAAATTTAGAAGGTCAATTTTAGATCATTCAACCTTTTTTACATCAGCATCTTAAAACATACTTAGGGAGATAGCAAAGCCAGTAGTTAGAAGACCCACATTCAAATACCAGCTCATGTATTAACTATAAAACCTATAAATGTTACTAAATTAATTGGAGGGAGAAATAATAATACCTATCCTATTGGGTTTTGATAATAAAATAATGCGTGTACAGCACAGTGCTTGGAATACAGTAAATAAATGCTCAATAAATGTTTGCAATTAGCACAATTTATAATAATAACAATTACCAGGTCATGTTCTAAAGATTGAAGAGGGGAATGTGAGGTTGTATGAATGGGAACATAGGACTCAGAGATCCAAGTCCCATAAACAATTATAATACAAAGCAAACTATTAATATCTAAGAGGAGTTGTTCTACTGAATTCTTATAGATTATATACTATAAAATTTCTTTAGTTTCAATAACAATTGAAGCTTATATTATTTTTTATCATAAAGTTTTTTTTATTGTTTATTTATGATATTTTAAAAGGGCCTTCAGAAAATTTGAATATGGACATGGTCTTAGATGATATTAAGGATTCATTGTTAGTGGGATAATGGCATCGAGATTATGCCTTTTTCTTAAGTATCTGAAATGAAATGACATGGTATTCAAGTTTTACTTTAAAATATTCCAATAATGGGAAGCAACTAAGATGTTCTTCAGTAGCTGAATGGAAAATCAGTGGTATAGCCAGACAATGGAATATTATTCAGCACTCAAAGGAAATGAACTATCAAGCTATGAAAAGACATGGAGAATTCTTAAATGCATACTACTAAGGGAAAGAAGCCAATATGAAGAGACTAGGTACTGTATGATTCCAACTCTATGACACTCTAGAAAAGGCAAAACTCTAGAGTCAGTAATGATCATTGGTTGCCATGGGTTAGGAGAGCACGGAGGATTTTTAGGGCAGCGAAACTACTCTGCATAATACTAAAGTGGTGGATACATGTCATCATTATTCTTTTAAAAAAATATTTTTATTGATTTCAGAGAGGAAGGGAGAAATAGGGAAAGATAGAAACATCAAAGATGAGAGAGAATCATGGATTGGCTGCCTCCTGTACGCCCCTCACTGGGGATCGAGCCTACAACCCGAGTATGTGCCCTTGACTGGAATCAAACCCGGGACCCTTCAGTCTGCATGCCGACGCTCTACCCACTAAACCAAACCAGCTAGGGCTACACGTCATTATTAAAACCCACAGAATGTACAATACCAAGAGTAAATCCTAATGTAAACTATGGACTTGGAGTTGATAACGATGTGTCAATGTAGGTCTATAAATTGTAACAAATGTACAACTCTGGTGGGGGATGAAGATTATGGGGGAGGCTATGGGGATAGAGCAGCTGTGGGCAAACTACGGCCCGCGGGCCGGATCTGGCCCGTTTGAAATGAATAAAACTAAAAAAAAAAAGACCGTACCCTTTTATGTAATGATGTTTACTTTGAATTTATATTAGTTCACACAAACACTCCATCCATGCTTTTGTTCCGGCCCTCTGGTCCAGTTTAAGAACCCATTGTGGCCCTCGAGTCAAAAAGTTTGCCCACCCCTGGGATAGAGGGTATATGGGAAATCTCTGTATTAAGTAAGTCCTCACTTAATATCACTGATAGCTTCTGCGACGTTAAGCAAAACAACATATAACAAAACCAATTTTACCAGGGGCTAATTGATAGAAGCAAGCTATGTTCCTGTGGCATCTCATCAATATTGTAACAGAAAACAAGGTTGAATGAAATGACATTAGTTGAGGACCTGCTGTACCTCCTGCTCAAATCTCCTGTGAACCTAAAACTGCTCTAAAAAATAAACTTTTGCAGGTTAGGGATACGTTCATGGCATAGATTGTGGCGATGGTTTCATGGTCTTTACTTATTTCCAAACTTATCAAGTTGTATACATTAAATATGTACAACTTTTTGTATGCCAATTATACTTCAATAAAGTGGTTTAAAAAATGCTCCAACAAAAAAGAAAAAAAGGAGGGAACTAGATGAAAGAAATCTGGCAAAATGTTTCTGGTTATTAAAGCTGTGTAATGGGTTCATGATAATATATTTTGTGCTTTATACATTTGAGAATCTTATTAATAAGAAGCTCAAAAAGATACTTTACAAACCTTAAAAATAAAGTAAAATCACTTCCACTCAACATTCATTCAAATATTTACTATATATCTATTGTGTATACAATCAGCAGAAATGCTGAGGATTCAAGGGTGGAGAAGGAAGAGAAATATAGTCCCTACCCTCATGAAGTGTACAGTTTAGTCCGTTCTTTTTCCTCTATTGACAAAAAGCCATGGAAATGTGTACTAGAGGCAATTTCTTCTGTATAAAACAACCCCACCCACATTCCTTATCTCAGAAGAGAGAGTTCCAAAACCATTAATTGGCTCAAGACAATTGTCGAAATTTCTTTTTGGAATTCTTTCAGTGCTGTTCTTCTTGGAGTCTCCTTCCTCTAACTCCATCACTGGCCAGGCAACGGGAAAAAGAGACATAGCCAAAGCCGGTTTGGTTCAGTGGATAGAGCGTCAGCCTGCGGACTGAAGGGTCCCGGGTTCGATTCCGGTCAAGGGCATGTACTTGGGTTGCGGGCACATCCCCAGTGGGAGATGTGCAGGAGGCAGCTGATCGATGTTTCTCTCTCATCGATGTTTCTAACTCTCTATCTCTCTCCCTTCCTCTCTGTAAAAAATCAATAAAATATATTTAAAAAAGAAAAAAAGAAAAAGAGACATAGTTACATAGCTCAAATGACCCATTTACGAAGGCAGAGGTGAGATTCATAGATATCTTTTTGTCTCTATTCTGACACTCCCACGAAAAGCCAGGGAAGCACAAACAGCAGAAGTGGCTACATTAAAGCTTGTTCTACTAGGAAGTGATACAAGAAGTAGTGTTCACCATTCTGATTCCAAGTACACAAGGTAGAGAGCTGCACTGCTGGCTTTATGTTCTACGAATAGAGCAGTTCAACCCAAATTCACTTGTGAGAAGCTAAGAGGAATAATATTTAAGTTGATGATCGTGTGCTGGGACCATGTGAGCAGTATACACATAGAGCTATGGATAGGAGTACATGCAACGTGAGGTCTGGAGGCATCATTGACTCTCTGGTTCTAGAGGTGCTTCACAAAATATTAAACTAATCAGAAATTCAGTGCAGGTAAACTAGAGTTTCTTATAAACAAGATCTCAGATAGTATTATATATCTAAACTTGGGCTTGCCCTGGCAAGCTCTGAGCCAAATGTTCACTTTGCTGAATATGTTAGAGGCGCTTTTATCCTCTGTCAAGGCTCTGAGAATTTCTGGCAAGGCTCAAATACAAATGGCATGGGAACAACTGAACTGCGGTTCTGATAATTTACCGACAGCTTCTACACCAACTAGTGGTAACTAATTAGCTAAGTTGAAGCTGATAAAAGGAAAGAAAATAACCTCCATAATTATTAACTATCATGCATGTTATCGGGCCAAGTTAGCATGTGGGCAAGTTTCTTTGTAATATTCAGTGCAAACACTAGTTGTCTCCTTTTATTTTTTTAAAACCCTGACCCAAGGATATTTTTTCCATTGCATTTTAGAGAGAGTGGGAGGGAGGGAAGGGGGGAGAGAGAGAGAGAGAGAGAGGAGAAACATTTATGTGTGAGACACTGATTGGTTGCTGGGGATCCAACCTGCAACCCAGGTATGTGCCCTTGATGGGGAATCGAACCTGAGACACTTTGGTATGCGGCCAACATCCTAACCACTGAGCAACACTTGCTGGGTATATTTATTTTTCCTTCCCTTCCTTCCTCCCTATTTATCTACCAATAATATACAAAGCATTTCAAATGTTTGGCCCTCATGTCAACAGATCATCCCAAACCTAATGGGAAAGGCCCCAGTCATCTCATTCAGACTTAGGCCTCAATAAGTGGTATATCTCAGATTCACTGAATTTTAAGCTTCTTAGACGGAAGAACAGCACTTAGAGGTCCTGGGATTTGATGATGGACCTCTAGATAGTATCCACAGGAATTGCGAAATTCTTACTAATGGGAAGTGCAGCTTATTTAATCCGGGGGTCAGGAGCCATGACATTACTTCAACTACATCCTAATTAGAAGAATGAAATGAAATTTTTTACAGAAAAAATTCTTTAATGTCAGGGGATTAACCTCAGGCTCCAAAATTCTTCTTAAGCTTCAAAATTCTAGGTTAAGGAATTAAAATTTTAAGAGCCAGAGTATTAAGAAAAATCAAATATCCACCCTGATTTGAGGTTCATTTCATATTTCTTTTTTGGGGGGAGAAGATTAACAAAACACAATCATCTAATTTAATTTACTAAGCCAATCAGAGAAATTTAACTTAAAGTGGTAGTTTGTACATAATAACCTAATATTAGAATTGGCAGCAACTCCATTTCTAGTCTCCAGAACTTACATGGAATAAATGACTGGAATAAGACAATGATTCAGATGCATCTGATTAATGAAAGTTCTCAATGAAAAGGATAATACTGCAGTTTATTTTAACTGTCCACACAAAACATATTTTAGATTTTTAAACTTGGCAGCAATAGCAATTGAGAAAATTATTCCAAGAAAGTCCATTTATTGACTACATTTGAAATCCTATTACAAGTTTCAGGTGAACTGGATTCAGCAATCCTAGGACTGAGGTAGGTCTGAGAAGTAATCTGCTTTTGCTTGATTTCTGAGGCAAGAACCCAACCTGTTTTCAAAATTTATCTATAAAGAGTGATGTTAAAACTTCCCTCAGTAACTAAATTTAAATGTATCTGATGACAAGCAGCTCATAAATACCATCTGACCCAATAACTTCTCTTCTCAGCATCATCCAATATCAGGAAATACTCTTCCCTAAGCTTACACTGTACCTTTGCCTTTAATTTTTTTTTTCCAACCAAGAGTCTACATCATGTCCCTGCATGCAATGTTTACCTGCAGGGAAGCCACGCTATAAAGTCCCAACGTCTAGACAGGCAGCTCACCCAATTTATTAGAGAAAGCTTTCAAAAGTATGTAAATATTAAATTCTTGCCAAAAGAACAAAGCAAAGTCAATATCAAAAATTAAAGGAGACTTTATGTGACACTAGTAAACTAAAGAACACAGAATTCAAAAGTAATAGAGCTTGAGGGAGTCTTTGGATATTATTTTTTAAAATCTATTTTTATGAAATTCTTGAAGAAGAAAAAATCTGACATATTCTGTGTAGCTATTAAAAAAGTTTTATTTACTGACATGGAAAAATATCCACGATCAAGTGTGAAGAAAAAAGATTATAAACAGCACTCGTATTTTTATCTATTTTTGTAAAAAAAACAACTTTCCCTGGCATACTTTTGCTTAGACCTACTTAGCCTTTTATTTCATACATCCCCCAATCTCATTCATCCATTAATAAGGTCTCAGTTATCCACTGTCACCTTTATAAACACACACACATGCACCCACATGTGCATCCCCCTCCCACTACCCCCAGACATAAGCCCTTATTATCTTAAATTACTTTATACTTTTGCTTCTTAGAATTACAGAGATAGTGCTTTAGACAGACTAGAAGGTTTTCGGATGCTCAGATTTGGCTATTTTAATCACTGTCCACCTTAGTAAGAACAATCCTCAGAATCATTCTCCCTCTCTCTCTCTCTCTCTCTCTCTCTCTCTCTCTCTCTCTCTCTCTCACACACACACACACACACACACACACACACACACACACACACACACACGACTAGAAGGGTACTTATCGAAAGAGCTAAGAATGGTTTTTTTCAGAGTGTAGGACACAAAGTGATTTTTACTTTGTTCTTTAGGCCTTTCTGTATTGTCTGATTAAGAGAAACAAAACCCAATATATTTATACTTAGAAAAAAGAAACCCCTTTTCTTTTTGAAAAAAAAAAAAATTGTTAAAACAAACAAACAAAAAACTCCTTTTCTTAAACTCTCCTGCAGAGTACTCAAAAACATCTCCTCATATCTTATTAGCACACTTCAGCTCTAGTTAAAAACATTAGTTGATATTACTTCAAATGTTAGAAAAGTCCTTAAATTCCCAGTCTATTTTTTAATAAATAAATGGGTCTTTGATAATGTGCAACAGTACTATAAAACCACTGTCTTCATTGTATCAGCTATGGTTTTCCTACGTATTAAAGTTAATGCTTGGAACTATTTTGAAAGCAGGGTTCTCTGGAGAAAAAATTTAGTCCTAATTTTAATGCTGAAGCAAAATGTGGGATTTGGTAACTCTATTTGTTGTTGAGTTATTAAAAAATTAAAGGCAGGGCTTTCAGTTGACTATCAAACTTTTAACCTTATGCCCAAGTCCCAGAATGAGAGTTTTAGCATTCCAAATTTAACTCAAAACAAAAGGCTTTGCTTTGAGTCTACAAATGCTCCTTTCAGTTAGAAAAGTGCTAATTTGTCCAAAGCACACAATGTATTCACTCATTTTCTTGAAGATGACTCACACAATAATCTGAAACATAATGACTATGTGTTTGTAACAATTCAAACAACTGTAAAAAGGCTTGTCATTTGAACTCTGAATTAATTCAGAGGCATCAGTTACATTTTCTGAATTTACATTTTTAATATGCAAAGCAGCTGAAGCAGCATATTTTAGCAGGGAAATAAAGAATTTAATTGCCAATTCTACCTTCCTAATTGCTCCCTTAATGTTCTCCCATGCCTCTTGTGGTTAAAATCATTTTGACATTTACTAGTAGAGGTGCAATCAAGCCCCATAGGTTATCACGAGAAAAAAGAGTGAGCGGCAGAGGTCAGATTTAGCTCTACCAAACCACACAATTTTTGGAAACTATCAAGAAATATGTATTGGACACATGATATATGCAAATAACCATTATTAAGGGTTACTCAGCAGGTAGAGTCCAGTAAGTGGCAGTTTCACAAGGCTCTGCAGATGATTCTGCTGTACTCTATAGTGGAGTATCACTATTTTGGAATAGTAATGCTGTAAGAACTGTATTCCACTCTATTCATTTATTTAAGATAGAAGTATGTCAAGAAATATAGAAAAAAATTGTAATATAGAAAAGTGTATAAATGCTACTTTAGGATTAGAATATAAAATAATTATGAAAGGATTTCTTATTTCAATTCCTTTACATTTCAAAGTTAATTTGAAAATTAGTCACAAAAATTAGGTCACAAAAATTAGTGACCATGCCAAGGTGATAGAGGCAGCAATTGAGAGGGGGAAAAAAGACATAATTTAAACAAATAATAATTACGTGAATAAAGAATCAGTAATTACCATAGAGTTCAGAGGCCTGATCATCAACTTTCTAGTCATTCTTGTATTCTACTCATTATTTCTCTTCCCAGAGAGAAGCAGGGATCAAGTACTTGAACTTGACATTCCCACCTAACTTGGAAGAGTTCATCATCACACACCTGGATTATTGCAATAACTACCTAGCAGGCCTCCCTAATTTAAGATGTCCACCTCCTCCCTTTTATTCTGTATTCACTTCTGAGGAATTTTTCTTAAATACTGTAGCTCTCCCAGTAATTCCTTGGCTCAGAAACCTGTAATGCTTTACTACTGCTTACTGCAGGGGTAGAGGTACCACATCCAGGTGTTAATTTAGAGGTTCAGGTAGGGGATATAAATGAGTGAAGTAGGCCATGTGAATATTAAGTGGGTAGAAAAACTTTTCACTTTCCACAAAGAAACATACTCATCCCATTTTTGCTTTCCTACTTCTATGAGATGTTTTACTATAAGAAAACAGTGAAGGACTGATCACAAAGGGTGACACATGGCTTTACTGTCCAGGAGACAATATTATATGTGGAGATTACGGTAGATTAAGAACCCAGGCCACATCAATGCTCTCCCGTCCACCACATCTAGTCAAGTTTGGCACATGAGAACAAGGTTTCAGTGTTGCCAGAATTTTGAAGACAAGACTCAAGTCTGGATTTTTATGTGAAATCACCCAACTTTAAAATTCTGGCTGAGATTAAACAAACAAACCCTAAACAAGGTATCAGTCCAAACAAAACATATCTCTGGCCTATGGACTAGGTACAGGGGTGGACAAACTTTTTGACTCGAGGGCCACAATGGGTTCTTAAACTGGACCGGAGGGCCGGAACAAAAGCATGGATGGAGTGTTTGTGTGAACTAATATAAATTCAAAGTAAACATCATTACATAAAAGGGTACAGGTCTTTTTCTTTTTTAGTTTTATTCATTTCAAACGGGCCGGATCCGGCCCGCGGGCCGTAGTTTGCCCACGGCTGGTAGGAGTTTGAGACCTTTAGTTTGGACCATGAAGTCCTTATCTGCCTGCCTTGTTTCTGGTATCTTATCTTCCCTATAGTAACAATAGTCCCCATATTTAGGTAGCATTTTATACTCAGTATGCTTTCACATCCATTTGATTCTCTACACTGTGAGAGAAGATGGAAAGCAGGAACAGACAGGCTAAGCAACTTGTCCAACATCAGATGAGTAGTAAAAACTAAAGCCCAGGTCTCCCAACTCTGAGACCAGCATAAAAACTTGGCCATTTCACTCTCATCTTGTCTCTTTCTAGTGTGCTTTTGCTTCAGTCCTGTCCTCATCTAGAATGAAGGCCTCCTTTCTTCTTGCAATGTAAGTCAAGACTCAGCTCAAGCTCTACTATCTACATAAAACCTTCTTCAATGAGGTCAAGTCTCCAAGTTTCCTCTTTTCAGAACTTCAATTGTTGTTATGGTCAATAACCTACAAACTGGTATTCATCAACAGTCTTGAATCATCAAATTATTTTACATCATTTCACTTTAGTCATATCCTCAATTATATTCTAAGCTCTTTGATAATAGGGACATGCCATTCTTTTCTTTCCATGGAATTCCCAGTATTGTTGCTGGGACATAAAAATGACTGCATAAAGTTCGATATATTGGACAGTCTTTTGGGAAGAGAGTTACAGGCTACCCTAACTTACCAGCCTGATGTTGTCTTCTGGGCGGAGTAATATGAACATTGCTTGGAGATGCTGTTGGAGATCACCTGGTGAAATTTACAAAACAAAAAAAATAATTATTCTCCATTGCAATGTCAACATAGAGCAGTGGTTCTCAACCTGTGGGTGGCGACCCCTTTGGGGGTCGAACGACCCTTTCACAGGGGTCGCCTAAGACCATCGGAAAACACATATATAATTACATATTGTTTTTGTGATTAATCACTATGCTTTAATTATGTTCAATTTGTAATAATGAAATTAGGGGTCACCACAACATGAGGAACTGTATTAAAGGGTTGCAGCATTAGGAAGGTTGAGAACCACTGACATAGAGGATTCCTTCTATTCTAATGACGTGTGAAAGTTTTGGTTCACTGAAGGACTACAATTATGTCCACTTTTAGTCTATACTACAGTAACACTTGTTTGTGTTTGTCCTATGGAAGGGATACTTGAAACCCATCTCCATTTTGTACTTTGGTGGATGTTGATGAGAGTGGGGGTGTGAAATCTGTTGGGCAAAGGCAGTACTGGCTGTGCTTTCAGGCCCACAAGAAGGTACCAATGAAGGAATCTTGCCATTCTTATTTCTTTAACTATAATCTTCAGTTGCACTTAATTTAAGAAGATGTTCAGATTTCCCCCTAGAATAACATCAACAGTTTAAAATTATTTCCACATTAGTGGCTGACATTAAAATAAAAGTACTTACTAAATACAGCAGATCCCAAGGGATATATATCTACTGAACATATTAAACGTTTTAAAATGGCAACCATTACTTGAATCCTCACTTGTTCTTATATATTCTATAAAACAAAGTTGAAATTTCTTTGTATTAAACCATTATAGATTTCCTCATATTCTCTATTCTATACTAGGAAATCTGAGGCTTTAGATCTTAGGAGATAATCAGATAATGTACTATCATAAACGAATACAATCAGAGAAGAAACACCTTCATTCCTGCCCATCCAGGTCCACCTCTTCCTTAAGTCTAAAGTGACAAGAAAGTGTTTGAATATTTTAAATGAAGCCCAGATAAGAAATTCTAACTAGTGTAAGAAACATGCATAAGAAAGTACAATTAGACATAATAAGCCCTTGATCTGCTCTCAATTCTGCCATCATCTTTCAGTCACTGTGAGGTCAGCCAAGGGAGCTCCAGCTTATGTGAAGGTCTTGTTTTGTAAGCTGTGTTTACACCCACACTGCCTCATCTGTTCTGGTCTGGATTACAAATCAAGCCCATTCAGTTTGTGTTCAATCTGCTTTTCTTTTTAGTATGGGGAAAGCTAAGTGAACAAGGTCAAGTAGAAACCTGGGTGGCAGTTGAGTGTGGAAGTTGACGAAAGAAAAAGGCCAACCAGGGCCAGGAACTTTGAAAGCCGGCAACCCCACTTACTATTACATGCCACAGAGCAATCTGCCTAACATTTCAGTCAAACAAGCTGGATTTAAACCAGTATTTTGTCTTCTCTTTACTGTCAGTGATAAATATCTACACCAAACAGAAATACAAAGCTTAGCTGGGTCTACTTCCTCTGTGCATTTAAGTTTTGGGGGGAAGTGTCCCCCCACCCCCTCTGGTAATTTAAAGCTAATTTTTCAAAAGAGTTTTTTTCCCTTACTCTTTTAAAAATTTTCCATGCTGGAGAATTGTGGTAGGAGAATAATACTGTCCAATGAGATAAATTATAATTCTGAGCCGCTACATTTATAACTAGATGAAGGTTCAAATAAGAAGTAGGACAGTCACTAAAATAGCTGAGATTATCTGGACTGGAGCTAAACTCAACTACTAGCTCATGGGATCCAGTATTTCTGGCTTTCACCTCTGACCTACACACTCAAGGTTTACAGTTTTCTTTGTTCTCTTTCTGGTAATTCCAATATATTTCACTCCTTGAGGTAACACATCCAAGTGGCACATTTATAACAATAAGTGATCACTCTTTGAATAGCTTTGATCAGGATTTTTCAATTGCTGTCCTCAGGTTGACTTTCATTCCTCCCCTCCCCACCCAATGACACAAACAAGGCTTGCTGTCAGAGAGGCATACGCTGGCTATCTTCCCAAACCTAGAGACATCCTATACCTAAAGACCATTTTCCCTTCTTCCTTACCTTTATCAGAACAATTGCACCTGACTTTAGAGAAATCCAACATATGGAAATATAAATGCATATAATTACTATTAGCAGGTGTGATACTGTGATTTATAAAAAATATATATTTGGTCTTCATCCTGTTCCTGGCACAGAGCTCCAAAAACCCTTGGAATTTCTGAAGTTGAGGAGAGCAAGCATGGTGTCTTTTGTTATGTTAATGACACAACTTTTGGAAAGTACTTAAGGATGGTTGCCAGGGGACTGGGAAGGGAGAAAAAGCTTGAGAGGGGAGGGGATGGAGGTTGGCTAGATCACCATTGGACAATAATTTAAATCAATTATGCCTATGTAATAAAGCCTCCACAAAAGCCCAAAGGAGTGGGTTCAGAGAGCTTCCATGTTGGTGAACACATGGAGGTTTGGGGTGAATGGCACATTAAAGAGGGCTTAGAAACGCTGTACCCATTCCCAGGTACCTTGTTCTATGCACCTCTTCGGCCTGGCTATTCCTGAGTTATATCCTTTTATAATAAGTTTCTCTGAGTTATGTGAGCTGCTCTGGCAAAAAAACTGAATGCAAGAAGAGATCATTGGAAACTCCAATCCAGAGACAACCTGGACTTATGATTGACATCTGAAATGGGGAGCAAGAAGTTTTGGACAACTGGGCTGGGATCTGATGCTGTCTGACAGTGTCAGAATTCAGTTGATTTGTAAAACACCCCTCTGGTGTCCTAGAATTGCTTGGATGTGTGTAGGAAAAAACCTCAAATTGGAATAGGAAGCAGAATATTAGCAGGTTATTCAAAATCAGATTCTTATATTCATTTCTAGGTAAACTTTATTTCATGACTTCTTGTTTCTATAAAAGTCCTCTGAGTTAAATTCCCAGTCTTTTTAGTGCAAACACAATCAAGAAGTACACTCTAGTACTTAAGAACTGGTGTTTTTCAATGTGATTTAGTAACTTGCTATCACAACAGTGACACTGAGCTTATTTATCTCAGTATATATTCTATTCTATTCTAATCTATTCTATTCTATTCTATTCTATTCTATTCTATTCTATTCTATTCTATTCTATCTATCATCTATCTGTTTATCTATGAATCAACCATATCATTTTCCATATAACATCAACAGAGAGTAGACAGGAAAAAGAAATGTGATCTTTGGTTAGTTGAAATGATTTTGCATAGGATTCAAGGTAACATCTGAACATCTTTTAATTATCAAAACCTTAATTGAGAAGTCACATAGACTTTATTAGAGTATTTTTGTACCTCGTTATTTTTCCAACAAATATTTATTGAACATCTATGAAATTTATAAGGCATTCTGCTAAGTGTCAGGAAAATGGTCTGAGAGGTAAAGAAAGATGATTATAGCACAGTGCAATGCTCTCTTTCACTACCGCAGAACTGTTGGAGAAATGGGGATGAGGAAGCCAACCTTTTAGAACAAAAGAATCAAAGAAACCAAGAAAGGAACGGATTATGTTGAGCTTTACCTGCATGCTTGTTGCGTCTGTGGCTGATTCTTGGAGTGGATGAGCCATTTCCCCGTGGTAGAAAAAGGGCAGCACCTTTGACAGTTAGAAAGCTCTCGCTGATGCTACCAAAAAGAAAAAAAAATCATAGACTAAGATGGAGTCCCACTTTGGAATTATTTTCTCTTCCCTATTCCAAAGTCCCAACTTCATGGTATGAAGTAAAAATAAAATCAAAAGAGACCATGGTTACTCACACAGTCCTGTCTAGACAATTTTTACGAAACAGACTTAATATATTCCATATACATTACATGGTAGCAGTTAAGAGTGAAGACTCTGGAAACATAAAAAGGGTAAAGGTTCTGGAACCAGACTGCCTGGATTTGAATCCTGGCTCTGCTACTTCTTACCTGAGTGAATTTTTGGGGTCTAAATTCCATTATCCATAAAACTGAGAAAATACTAGTAAAATGAGGTTGTTGTGAGGAGTCAATAAGACTACAGATTCTTAAGAGTGGTGCCTTTAGTAAAGATTAGTCACTATTATTAGACCGATGGTTATCAATAATGGTGTTTCAATAGTGTTCTAATCAGATGTAAATGTTACAACACTTAGTTACTAGTAATAGATCCAACGTTTGTAAAACAAATTATGTTGAAAATACACACCACACTAAAGGGTTACTCAAAATTTTACTTTCACCAACTTGTATTCCCACATCCACTGAAAAGTAGTGCATAGGAAGTGTTTTTAACGCATGGAATTTGCCCTCTATGTTAACTGCATCCTTCATGTGAATGATAGCTCCACAGAAGTGAAGAATTACTCTTTAGGATAGAGGCTATTCAAAATATAATTGCTAGTGGATATCCAGAGAAAATGGAAAATACACCTAAATTATTTCATATCAACAGACTAAGCCTTTCAATGTTACCCACAGAATCCAAAAAGGATCAAACTTTTAAATCATGAATGGCAAAGTTTAGAAATGGAGGGTTCCAAGTTTGCTGGTAAGTATGTATGCTATTCAGGGTTAGTTAATATATTATAAATTATACTGCCTACTCAACATTTCCACTTGGAAAAGTAACTGTCATCTCAAACTTACATTGCCAAAACTAATCTCTTGAGGCCCTTGCTGATCCCTAGCCTCATCCACCCAAGTTGTCTGGGCCAAATACATAACAGTTATTGCTGGTTTCTTTTTTCCTACAACAATATATATGTAATCCATCAGAAAAACCTAGGAACTTTACTTTTAAATCATTCTTGAATCTGTCCACTTAACTCCATTAACACTCTAACAATGAATGGTCCATGGCACCATCATTTTTTACTTAGAATACTGTAAAAAAAAAACCCCAAACCCCATGTTCTCGTACATTTCAGCTTTAATTCATGGCAAAGCTTGTTACTTTTTTCTTTTTTTTTTTTGGTTAATTCTCACCTGAGGAAATTTTTTCCATTGATTTTTAGGGGGACTGGGGGAGGAGAAACATCAACGTGAGAGAGACACATTCATTGGCTGCCTCCCACATGAGCCCCAACTGGGGGCTTGGAATCAGACCTGCAACCCAGGCAACATGCTCTTGACCAGGAATCAAACCCAAGACCCTTCACTGATGCGGGCTGATGCTCTAACCACTAAACCCCAGCCAGGCCTAACCTTGTTTATTTTATCCTTCTCCTTGTACTTGAATTGAAACTAATCCCAGACATTATATCAACATAAAGCCTCTTAACTGGTCTGTCTGCAACCACCTCTGCACTGCTACTATCCACTTACCAAAGAGCAACCAGAGTGATTTAAAATATATAGATATGTGTGTGTGTGTGTGTGTGTGTGTGTGTATAAATAACAAAATATCATGTCCTTGCTCAACACCTTCCAATGACTTCCCTTTGTACTTAAAATAAAAGCAAAAGTCTTAGCTTGGACTTCAAGGCTCTGTAACATCCGGTAAGTTACTTCTCTGATCTTGTTCCATCTCCCCTTTTGTTTACTATGATCTAGTTGCACTGCCTTCTGCTGCTTCTATATTTCAGCCTCCTTCTCAGGGCTTTTGTGCTTTTTGTTTTCTACTTGAGACACATTTTTACTGGCCTGTCACTAAGTCATAGCTCCAGTATCATCATCTTCTCCCCCCACATCTCAATCATACTCTATCCTGTTTCTGTTTTGTTTCCTTCAGAATATTTATCATGGACTAAAATTATATTTGTTCACTTGTATACTTGATTGCAGTTATCTCCCTATAACGGAATATAAGCTCCATGAAGAGCAAGGATTTTATTTTGGTCTGCAACACTGGAAATAGTGCCAAGCACATACTAGGTGCTCAGTATTTGATGAATGAATTCATTAATTCCACGTCCCCCCCCCCCCCACTGTTATGTCTGTTACATCACTGCAGCAGGAATTGTAATTTAAAACAAAAATAGAAATTCTGTAATCTCACATAAACAAATTGTAAGACAAATCACATGATCATATCAATAGATGCAGAAAAAGCATTCAACAAAATCCAACACCCATTAAAAAAAATTTTTTTTTAAATTGATTTCAGAGAGGAAGGTAGGGGGAGGGAGAGAGATAGAAACATCAATGCCCGGGTTGGGGGCTTGATCCCCAGTAGGGGACAATGCAGGAGGTAGCCAATCAATGATTCTCTCTCATCATTGATGATTCTATCTCTTTCTCTCTCTCCCTTTCTCTCTGAAATCAATAAAAGTATATTAAAAAAAAAAACCCCACAATGGTATATTTCACAGATCTAGAACAAATACTCCAAAAATTCACATGGAACCAAAAAAGACCTCAGCAATCTTGAGAAAGAAGAACAAAGTTGGTAGGATCACAATAGCGGGTATCAAATTATATTACAAAGCCACTATTAATAAACAGCCTGGTAAAGGCACAAGAACAGGCATATAGATCAATGGAACAGAACAGAGAAATCAGAAATTGACTCAAGCCATTATGCTCAATTAATATTTGACAATGGAGGCAAGAGCATACAATGGAGTAAAGATAGTCTCTTCAAAAAATGGTGTTGGGAAAATAGGACAGGTACATGCAAAAAAATGAAACTAGTCCACCAACTTACACCATACATAAGAATAAACTCAACATGGATAAAAGACTTAAATGTAAGTTGTGAAATCATAAAAATCATAAAAGAAACCATAGGCAGCAAAATCTCAGACATCTCATGTAGCAGAATTTGCACTGATATATTGCCTAGAGTAAGAGAAACAAAGTAAAAAATAAACAAACAGGACTACATCAAAATAAAAAGCTTCTGCACAGCAAAAGAAACCAGCATCAAAATGACAAGGGAACCCACTATATGGGAGAACATATTTGCCTATGATACATCTGATGAGTTAATTTCCAAAATATATAAAGTACTCATACAACTCAACAAAAGGAAGACAAACAACCCAATTAAAAAATGGGCAGAGGACCTGAACAGACACTTCTCCAAACAGGACATACAAATGGCCAAGAGACATATGAAAAATGCTCAGTGTCACTAATTATCAGAGAGATGCAAAAATTAAAACGACAATGTGGTACCACCTCACACCTGCCAGAATGGCTACTATCAATAAATCAACAGGATGAGGATGTGGAGAAAAGGAACCCTAGTACATTGCTGGTGGGAATGCAGACTGGTGCAGCCATTATTGAAAACAGTGCGGAGTTTCCTCAAAAAATTAAAAATGGAAGTGCCATTTGACCCAGTGAGCTCACTTCTAGGAATATATTCTAAGAAGCCTGAAACACCAATCAGAAAGAATATATACATCCCTATGTTCACAGCAGCGTTATTTATAGTAGCTAAGATGGGGAAACAGCTCAAATGCTTATCAATAGATGAATGGATAAAAAACCTGTGGCACATTTACACAATGGGAATACTATGCAGCTGAAAGAAAGAAGGATCTCTTACCCTCTAAGATAGCATGGAGAGACCTGGAGAGTATTATGCTAAGTGAAACGAGTCACTTAAAGACAAGTATCACATGATCTCACTTATATGTGCATCTAATGAACAAAATAAACTGACAAACAAAATAGGTCCAAAGACACTGAAGCATGCAACAGATTGGTGTACTTCAGGGGGAAGGGGGGCGGGGAGGGTAGGAAGAGATTAACCCAACAACTTATATTCATACTAGTATATGCATAACCCATGTATACAGACTACAGTGCGATGAAGGCCTGGGTGGGAGTGGGGTAGAGGGAGTCAATGGGGTAAAAAAGGGGGACATCTGTAATACTTTCAACAATAAAGATAAATTTAAAATAATAATTGGTATAGCCGAAACCGGTTTGGCTCAGTGGATAGAGCGTCGGCTTGCGGACTGAAAGGTCCCAGGTTCGATTCCGGTCAAGGGCATGTACCTGGGTTGCAGGCACATCCCCAGTGGGAGATGTGCAGGAGGCAGCTGATCGATGTTCCTCTCTCATCGATGTTTCTAACTCTCTATCTCTCTCCCTTCCTCTCTGTAAAAAATCAATAAAATATATTAAAAAATAATAATAATTGGTATAGAACTAAATATTATGGCAGATTAATAAACTATAAAATGAAATTAAATCACCCTATAAAATTTTAGTTGTTGACTGAATTTCATCCTTTAATCAAGTGGCATGAAGCTGATAAACCTTTGAGATAACTTGCCAAATAGACTGGAACATGTCTTCTAAAAAACAAACATGAGTCCACTTATGTTTGCACGCTGGGTAGGAGGGGCTGCCTTTAAAATTTGCATGCTGGGTGGGAGGGGCTGCCTTTATTTTGCTTTGTTTTCATCTTTAAATAAAGCACTGTGCTCTTGTGGTCTATTGCACAAGTCTTGTCTCTTGTTACATTCTTGGTATGCACATGTTACCATGCTATGGGTCACTGTTTCACTCATATTACGGGAACAACCTAAAACAAAATGTCTGAGTGACAGGATGAGTGGGGTACACCACAGACAGGAAATGAAATTCATACTCTGCCAACACAGCAACTGTCTGCTTTACTAAATGAAAATATTTTAAAAATAAAGACTAAATAGTCACCAGGAAAAGTTATAGCTGCGGGCACTTCGGTTTCCTGTAAACAA